ATTTAATAACTTTTTATATTAATTTAAATAATTACCACGTAATTATTATTATATTTTTAACCTTTAATATTTTTTTTAAAATTAATTATAATATTATATATATAAAATTAAATTTTAAAATTACGTTTATTCATAAAATCATGTTAATCGAAAAAAAAAATTATAAAAAACAATTAATTAAATACGGAAATTATAAATTATTTTTTACGATATAAGTTTTATTATTATAATTAATTACGGTTATTATTAAAAGTTAAAATTTTAACTTATATTATTATTTTAAAAAGTTAAATAATTTTATTTCCGTTTATATATTTAATTTTAATAATTATAAATAATAATAAAATAAATTAATAATAATTTAAAAAACGTTATACCCGTGGAAATTTCGAACGAAGTTTAAAAATAATTTAAAAATAAATAATATTTAATAAACGTTAATTATTATATTTTTTACGGATATTTAAATATAAATTTAATTATTTTTATTTATGTTTAAATTAATTTTTAATAATATATATAATAAATTAATAAATATATAATTATTTAATAATATAAATAATATTATATAAAAATAATAAATTAACTATTTATTTTAAAATAAAATTTACTTACGTTTTAATTTTATTATATTTTTTTTAAATAAAAATTAAATAAAAAAATTAAAAGATTATAATATATTTATAGAATTTTAATTTTATTTTAATTTGTCCGATAATTAAAATAAAAGCGATTTATTTTATAAAAAAATATATATTTTTTATATATATTTTTTATTTAATGAATTTATTAAAAAACGATATATTTAAATGTTTAAAAATAATAAATTAATTTTTATTAATAACGAATATATTTATTATTTAAATAAAATCATTAAAAAGTTTAAGGAATTTTTAATTATTAAAATTAAATACGAACCGGAAATTTTACTTAAGTATTTTTTTATTTATATGGTTATTATTAAAAATAACTTTTATTATTTAATAGTTTAAAAAACTTAAAGAATTTTAAAAAAACCATTGTTATTAATTAAAAAAAAATTAACGTTATAAAAAAAATTAAAATTATCGGTAAAAAGTTAAATATTTTTAATAAATCCGGGTGTATTTTAAATATATATTATAATATTTTAAACGTTAATAAAACTTATATCGGTTAATTTTAAAGTTAATAATATATTTAATATTAATAATAATAAAAATAAAAATAATGAAAATATTAATTTATTTCTTTTAAAATAAAAATAATAAATATAAAATTATACGATAATATAAATTAATAAATAATATTAAATAATTAAAATTATAATTTATAATTAAAAATTTTTATTTATTTTATTAAATAAAAAAAAATAAAAAATAAATACGTATATTAAAATATTAAATAATAAATTTAATAATTAAATTATATAATTTATAAATTATTATAAAAATTATATTTATTTATAAATTATATAATTATTTTTTTTTACGTTTTTTATAATTTTATTTATAAGGTTTTTATTTTTAATTATTTAAAATAATAATTAAAATATATCGGAATAAACTTTATAAAAATTATATTTAATACGGTAATTTATTAACGGATAATTTATATAATATACGTTATAAATATTTTTTTATAATAAATTTTATAAATAATGATTTTTTTATTATTATTTATTTAAAAATATTTAATATATTTATATAAAATTTTAAATAGTTTTATTTTTTTTAAAAATAAAAATCTTTAATTAAATAAATAATAAATTTATAATTTTTATTATTTTTTTTTTATTAAAATATAAAAAACTTTATTTTAAATTTATTTATTATAATATTAAATATTATAATAATAAAAAAAAATTAACTTAAGTTTTTTAAAATATTATTAAATTTATTAATTATATAAAAACTAACGATATAATTTAAAATACATTAATTTATAACCATCCATATTATATTAATATAATTAATATTAACATTTTTAAATTTTATTATAAAAAATAAATAACTTAAAATATCGTTCGTTTAAAATATTTATATTTCATTATTTAAATTTTTTAATAAAAATATACGTGGATAATTATAAAATATATTTAACGTTAAAACGGGAAGTTTTAATATATTTATAAAATTTAACGAAAAAATAATTTAATAATTAATAAAAATTTTATTTATAACTTTAAATTTAAGATTTTAAATTAAATTATTATTAAATAAAATTTAATTAAATGTGGTTTTTACGTTATTTTTTAAAAACACGATTTTTATTTATTTTTTTTTTTATTTAAATTTTTATATTTTTTTTATTTATTAATTTATATTTATATTTATTATTATTATTTTTATATTCGTATATATTATCGTATATTTTTAAATTTTTATTATTTTTTATATTAATTTATTTACGTTATAATAAAATTAATAATTTAATATTTTATTTATTTTATATTTTAATTTTATTATTTAATTATTTAATACTTTATAATATTAATTTTATATATTAAAACTTTTTTTTTAATAATTTTAAAAATTAAAATTATTTATTAATAATTTAAAACATATTTATTATATTATTTAATACACTTTAAAATTTTTTATAAAAAAATATATAATTATATTTTAATTTATTAATTCGGAATATAAGTTTATAAATAATGTTTTAATAATTTTTAAAAATAAATTAAAAAAATTTATTATTATTTATATTATTATAAATATTAAAAATAAATGATATAAATTTTAACGTAAAATTTTTTAAATTAAGTAAAAATTATTAAAGTTTTTTAAAAAATAACGGGATAAAGTTTTTAAATATTATTAAATTATATATTTTAAAAAATTTTAACCATGTAAATATAATAAATAACGTGGATATTTTTTATTTTATATGATTTTTTAATGAATATAATTTATTTAATAAAAAAAAAGTTAATTATTAATAAAATTATTATAAAAACTTACGTTTTTTTTTAAAAAATTAATTTTTTTTATTTATATAATTATTTAATTTTTTAAAAAAAAAATAATTTAAAAGTTTTAAATATTAATTTTAATATTAATTTTAATATTAAAAACGTTAATTACGTTTTTTTAAAATAATTATTATTATTATAATAAAATTAAATAAAATTATATACCGGTTATAATTTTATTATAATATTATAAATAAAAAAATATTATTAATAATTATATTATTTAAATATAATTTAAATAAAATTAAATATTTTATTAAATATTTAAAAATAATTTTTTTTTAAATATTAATTTAATTAAATTATATTATTTAATTAAAATAAAATAAAATAATTAAAATTATATTATAATAAAATAATTAATATAAAATAATATTATTAAAAAAAATAATTAATTAAAGTTTATATTATATATTATAAATTATATAAAATTTTAATATTTATTTATAATTATTTATAATTATTATTTTATATAATTATTTATGTTTTTTATAATTATATTTTATTATATTATATTATAATTATTTTTTTTTTATTTTTTTTTTATAATTATTATAATTATTATATAATTATTAATAATTATAATATAGTGGTACCCGTAATTTTTTCTTGCCTACCTTAATAATTTTACTAGTCCCAATTCGGAAATTTTTTTTTTTTTTTTCTTAACCTATAATAATAACCCTTTTAAAAGTCGGGCAAACCTTCCTAAAAGTCGGGCATAGTTCCACATTTGGAGAGATTGGCGTCTCGTTACTAACAAATTACTCTACAATGGCATAATATTACTACAAAACAGCCTTATCCATCTATCGAGACTATTGAGCGGGCTTGAGCAGCAAGGAGGAAATGGTCCGTTACAATAATCTCTTCCGCAGAATGCAATCCGCCATACTTGAAGTGAACTACCTGGGACATCGTAAATAAAATCGCATCACATTTCTCTCCGTTCATCCATAAATCCAATAGTCCCTGGAAACTTGACTTTAATACAGACATCATCTCCGAATTCATTTGTTCCCCTTGTTTTAGACTAACTGCTACCATGACAGCCATGGCTTTACCGGAAATGGGGTGCGTAGAAGAGAACACTCGGGTATCCGCTACTATTACAGCATTGCTAATGGAGTTTCCCATAGCGTTAATCCCAGGTAAATTGCCATGATCTTTGACTGATGGCCATAAGTTGGCCATGAATATAAGTGCAGCCTGGAAAGTGATGAAACGCCTTGTAATGTCGTTGTCTACAGACACCCATCTTTGCTGCAGGTGTTTAGCTACTTTGGTAAATCTGTCTGTTTGTCGTGCTCTAAATCCCTTATAGAACTCGGACCATCTGGTTTCATATGTATCTTCATTGATGGGTGATCCGGCCATTATGAAGCTTTATTTTTCAAGGTGGATTCTGAAGGGGGACTGCTCGTTGTAAGATGGTATAGGCTCTAAAAACTTTTGGCGCGTTTCTATGTATCTGGTATGATATATAGGTATATATATAACAGTCCATACTGTCGAAAAACAAGCGGAATATTCTCGTAGATATCGGAATCTACTAGGATCTAATGGCCGAGACATTCTTTAAAGCCATGCAACTTGAATGTTAACCTAGGCAAAGAATCGTTCAATTAGAGAAGTTGCTAGATTGTCATATAAACTAATACGAAACCCACATAGAAGAATTTTTCCTGTATCGTGTTCGACCGGTAACTGTGGCTTTCCCAAGGGACCACCTCTAGGTAGGTAACCTAGCTAGGAGTAATTGTCTTGCTATCCAGGAAAATATTTCCTTAAAATTAGTGTAGGTACGTAGAATGGAGTGTAAGGATGCATCAGCAAACAGGCTTATAATCAGCTAGATTATTTCCTGACGGAATGAAGTCGTTCAATGCTAAGAATCGCCGAGAAATATGTGGATTACCGACCCCGAGAGATCGGGGTCGGGGTGGATCTCGGCCATTTCAGTGATCCACTATGGCTTCTGGAGGTGGTGCGTTTCACTGGCTAACTGTCATTCTGCTATCAAAATAACAAATGATATAAAAAATGATAAAATTCCAAGATAATTCGTATTGGGTAAGAAAGCCATCACTCGGTTTCATTCGTCTCTATTAGGCACTAGGTGTTTTGGTACCACTTGACAACACTTACCACACGTCACATCACAGAATATAGCCGGACCCATCTTAAACGCCATGGCGAACAACACCGACGACGGTAGCAGACTCGCTTCTCTCAATTCGGCTACCCTCGGAGCTGAAATGCCCCAAATTACGTTGCCTGACGGAACCAAGGTACAGACGGGAACAGTGGGGTCAGTTTTAGTAGTTTGTCATATACACTACCTAGTATCAAGGGCTAAACTCCAACTTTGCAGTGCATTACTCATCAACATTCGTACGTATAACGAGGCGTACAAGGCCGGAGATAAGGGCAAGCTAGCTCAGCTGGAAGAAGCGATGCGCGCGACGTTACCATTACTGGGCAGGGTTGGCATGTTCGACCTCTTCTCACCCGAAGAATGGATCCAGGGAGACAACGAGGGCCGGAGAGTCGTGGGCAAATTGTACCAACAGTTCAAGTCGGAACAGAAGTAGGCGGAATAGTCTGTATTTTTCATGAACGGGGAACTCCCAACTCCATTAGACAATGTGTCTGTAGCAATAACAAGAAACCACCCAGAACGCCATTCCCATGCGCGTATTTCATCGCCTTGACTTTTCACTTCTTGGAGCGCTTCGGGGTATCCTCGTCAACATCCATCGCCTGCGCTTCCTCGTTGTCCAGATCTCGATTTCGCTTCAGACCCTTCATCTTTCTTGTCTGCAGCTCGCTGAGGTCTTGTCTGCCAAGATGGATGCGGCCGATCTTGTCGCCTATGGTATCCGTCGTCACGTTCTTCTTGACCTTCTCCTCCACCTTTGCCGTCTTCATAGCCTCTTTCAGCACCGCTTCCTCGGGCTCCTGCATGCGGCCGACTCGGAAGTCCATGCGTGGGCCCATTTCCTCAACCTCGACTCGTGGCAATCGCTGTCCGCTGCGCTTCGTCGAGATGAGGTAAACGCGCAGGTGAATTGCCGGCTTTACGGCATCGCCCACAGGCTCGTCGGCCGAGACAGAGACGAGGTACTGCAGACCTTCGACGTCGATCTTGTCGCTCGACGTGTCGCCCTTGAACAGGTCGATCAGCATGCTCTTGGCCATCGTGTACTCGTTGGCGACCGGGCTCTCAAACGCGGTTCCCGAGAACAGCATCATAGGTCGTAGGCCCACGGCGAACTTGCGCCCCTTGAATTGCGAGATGCGGCGATAGCTCTCCGGGTCTAGGTGCAACTCCAACATGTCGAGGATCTTGCCTGCGAAGGTGCGCGCGAATGTCAACGTGTGCGGGCGCTTCTTGGAGCTGATGCCGAATACTAGCAGCGAGGTGTCGTTCTTCTCGCTGAAGAATTCAAGAGACGAGGGATCCTCGAACGGATGAATGTCATTCTTCTTGGTGAATTTCTTGGCGAGCGGTTGTCGCAGAGAGTAGAGGTCTGTTAAAGCATCTTGCGCGATTTGCGAACAGGTCGTTCCGCGACTGAATATTTCTGATCAGTCTGGCCAGTTTATTTATTTGAGCTTCTACCTATCCGAATAAGAGCACGTACAGGAAAAGAGCTGTCTTCGGGTTCTCGACAACCTTGGGAGCCTTCTTCTCGAGAGCTCGTTTAGAGCGAGCATTGCGTGGTTTTCTAGGTGATTATCGTTAGCTAAATGAAAGCCATCGAGTTGGCATTACATTATACGTACATTTGTCGCAACATTTTGGAGATGATCTGAATTGAAGAATGCTAAGATCGTGGATGATCCCGCAGTCGCAATTGGTGATCTAGTTAGAGGGGCCGTTGGAAATTTTTAGGACGGCAGAACTTTTTAATGTGGAGAAGATCAACGAGATAAGAAGGCGGTATGAAGAGCACTTGGGGTTGGTCCCTGCATTCTCTACCGTGAGCGGCCCGACTCGGTCCGCTACCACCTGGCAGGTTCGTTCCACCAATTTGGACCGCTATACCTGTGTTCCTCTAGATGACAACTTCCTGCAAAATTCATCTTGATCAAGTTCACGATCTGTTATATTGAGCACTCATATGCATACGCCCATAAACTTAGAATTTCTTTATACCTCTTCCATTAAAACACAACAAATTCAACGTTAGGTTGTAATCGATAGAACTAATCCGACAGCGTCACGCACAGCGCCAGTCGACATCGCTGCCTTCCTAGAATTACATTGCCTGATTGCATGTCTGTTCTGATTTTCTCAGTTAGACTGTACGACACAGCCTGAGAGTCGGGGGAAGGTCAGGGGTTTGTGCCCCACACCTACAGGCAATCGAGCATTTTTGATCATTCATGTTGGTGATGGCGTTCCTCGTTGGACAACGTCAGCCAGCTGTTGAAACGATAAAATCTTGAAGGTAACCGCCACCACTTCTTACAGGGAAAATAACCAGTTTCTCCAGCCTAGCCGGGGCTCATTCATAATGCGGCATAACGGGAGCTGCCGCAATGTCCCTAATCTTCTCCCGACTCTCAGGCTACGTGAGTCTACTATGCAGAGTCTAGCTCTATGTCAAATTTGGTAGATATTATCAACTTACATTTTCATCGTCTGTTTGACTGCGCCAATTTAGTCTCAGGGATACCATTGTTGAGACTGATAGGGCGTAGGCCGACCCTTCGTTTTTCTCTACAGCCTTGCAGCGACAATCTTCCCATGCATACAGTTGTTTTCAGGCCCCTGTCATTCTAGTTTTGTTGTCAATAAGCTCTAAGTAGGTAGCTACTGTTGGGAATTACCTATGTCCTCAACGACAGAACCAACGGAATCATATCCGGATGCAACGATTGGCAGCAACCCTATGTCGATCAACCCTTACGGATGTTACGGCACCAACGGACATATGGATTTCCAGCTTCGAGAAAGTCCAGTTGTTAGTTCCTGAAACAGCGCGATCAAGAATCAAGAATCGACATTTCTTGTTGAGTTCACGACCAAACGTCACCGGAAATACCATATCTGAGGTCCGGATATAACGTCCCTGAGCCCTATCTCAATTGACTGGAGAGAATAATCCTCCTTGGGTACAGGGCATTAGTAAGGCAATGGACCCTATCATCTTACTTCGTATAATTACGAAAGCTACAGTGAAGTGGAGGTCGACGCTCTGGTGATAAACAGTTTGATCTAGTTGCTGGGCAAGAGGGGTATGGAAATTGCTACTCTTAAAGACGTTCATGATATTCAGTACATTCAAAGCGGCACAGTTAACATTTTCATGGCTAACCCTGTACACAGCACCACCGACGATATTTTGTGAGTTTAATGAGCTACCACGGGCCTATACGCCGCCTTTCGCCTAGCGCCCTGGAAGAAATTAACTTGGCAGGTCTCTAACTAAACCAAGTACACGGTAGTGTGGAAGAAAGCACGTGTGAAGCTATCTCGCCATAGGTAGTCGATGCGTGCTGGGCATTAGATAAGTCTGTCGATCATGACTTATTGCAGGAATGGGTAAAACGATGAAGTGAGGCCCACTGGATCTGGATGTTTTGAAACTTAGAGCGGGTTGCCGTGAAAGTTTTATCACGTTTACCTTGCATTATGCGATCGTATGGTCCCGGCTTTCCGGGGCTCGCAGCAACCAGACGCAATGCAACTACCGGAATGGACCCTATTAGAGCATCGATTCTATTACGCCGTCTCAGCGCCGGCACGCGATTTTACCTGCTTCTGGTTAGAGCCATGCAGGCAGCAAATCTTTAGAAGCAGGCTTACGGCGCCATCACGGGGACGTTAACTATATCCGGCATCTCGTCAACCTACGGGGCTCCACATACACTATCCCAACGTGGTGTTGATCAGGAACCAGCTTTGAGCCGCATAAAAATTATGCTATCTGTTAGAAGCTCGATTGCGACGTTGATTTGATGTGTCATGTCGCTAAAGGTCGTAAGTTGAGGAATGCTACGCTGCAAGAAAAATCTTCCTATAGACCTGCATATGTATGTTTCAAGAAAAACTTCGGTCGACCGTATGGGCTAGGTCGCATTGGTATTCACCATAGGAAGTAAGTATAATTCTATCTAATCTTGGTTATAACTAAATACCTAGTCGGATATCTCTATTATAACTGACTCGATCGACTACGTACGAGGGGCTAAGAATCAAAGCTTCCAGAAGCCTGGGCAAATGGATTCAAGTGCCGCGATGTCACTTTATAAACGTGTCCGACCGTCTTTCGGGCACCATTCCGGCCTTAGTCTATACTGTAACACAATAGCACCGAACGGCCGAGTTGCACACACGTCAGCTAGTCTCCTTTATCATGTTCGCAAGCTTCGAATCTCTGAATCCCGGGGCGAGGTCTCCTGATTCGGCAGGCCTACCCTCTGAATTGCTTACGGACCCGGTCGTAACGGCCTAGCTTGCCAAGATGAAAAATCCAGGGGTCAATATCATCACCGGCATATTGCCGCTTTTGAGCTTAGCTGTATCTTAGCTGTTGCAACCAGCTCGAAGATACCCATACACCCACGAGGGTCGGGGGTTAACGTCCCACAAGGCTGGGTCGCCAAGTTCGCGCTGGCGAATCGTTTTTGCATATCAAACATGAGACATCAGATGGGAACGGCAGCAGGGATCGGTTAGACGTCCTGGTCTCGCCCGCGTGGTTTTCCACCTCTATCCACGTTCAGTAAAAACATGGCTCTGGATTCCTTTGTAGATTTTTCTTCCCCAAGATACGATGTCTGGGGTTTCGTTCCTTTAAACCTTTCTCGTTCTCTGTTTTGGCGATACTGCGGTGCCGTTCGTTTCATTCCCCGTCAGGTATCTCTTGCATATTACGTTGGCGATTAGTCAAGATGCGGTTCCTTTCGTTGTTGTCGCTGCTATGCCTGGGTGCATTGCAGCCAGCGCTGGCCGCTCTCAACCTCACTGGAGTTCCCGCTTGTGGTGTAAGTTTCGAGAGGGAGTTCATCCCTCTGGCAAGATATTAGTTATAGGCTGGCTGACATTCAACTAGTTAAAATGTCTCGCGACTGAGGTCGCCAGTTCGGACTGCACGCTCACGAATACGACATGTATCTGCACAAATTCAGTGCTTCTAGCCGATATTACCGAGTGCGTCACAGCGAGCTGCTCGATTCGCGACCAATTAGGTGAGTTTATAACATGGAAATCGCGTTGATTTTCTTCGATGGCTGACTGGCATAATACCAGCGACGAAGAAATTCCAGGCCGAAACTTGCGGTATTCCAGGCGAGGACAGGACTGCTCTTGTCAAAATCATTGCGATTGTATTTGGCGCACTTGGCCTGCTGGCTTTCGTTTTACGATGCATGGCAAGGCTCATTGGGCCGCATGATTGGGGTCATGACGATTCGGTGATGTGTTTGGTTATGGTACGCCGACATCGACTCGAATTCTTACCGTCCGTCCCCTTCTAACATCCTATATAGGTCCTCGAAATCGCTTTCGCGTGTCTATCAGTACCTAGTAAGTCATCTTGCCTATAACATATAGTTTTAGACTAACAATTGGTCAGTTTCCAATGCCGGACTTGGATTGGACATGTGGTTTGTCCCACATGATTCCATCACCGAGGTCCTTAAAGTTGGTGACCCCCTTACTTTCATACGAAGCAACCTACTCTAACAGAAAATAGCTGTATTTCTTCGATGAGTTATTGTACATTACGGCACTGGCTCTGACCAAGATTTCTATTCTCTTCTTTTACCTCAAGGTGTTTCCGAAGCGCTCGTTCCGCATTTGCGCTTGGGCCCTCATATGCTTAAACCTCGTATGGGCGCTCACTTACGACCTTCTTCTCATCTTCCAATGCAATCCGATATCCGGCGCATGGACATTCTGGGATGGTGAAACTGAGTCGAAGTGTATCAGCATCAATATATTAGGTTGGTCTGCTGCGGCTATAAATATCGCGTTAGACTTGGCCGTCATCGCTCTCCCGCTCCCGTCATTGTTCGGGCTATCCTTGTCTATGAGAAAGAGGCTTCAGATCATAGCTATGTTTGCTGTCGGCTTCTTGTAAGCTATTCTGGAGATCCTCAACCGTCGAGAGCAACTATTAATTCGTTACACAGCATCACGGTCGTCAGCGTCATCCGTCTATATTCGCTTATCCATTTCGGTGATACCCAAAATCTCACTCGTAAGTCTTCCCCTTCTTCACTTAGTTTCCCCAGATTCCAGGGTCAGTATTAACACATATCACAGAGGACTACGTCGAAACGGGATACTGGTCCACGATCGAAGTGCCCGTCGGCATCATCTGCGCGTGTATGCCTGCGGTGCGCTCGCTCTTCAGCCGCGCGCTGCCCAAGATCTTTGGCACGACGCGGAATATGGGTTCAAATTTCAACACATACGGCCCGTCGTCAGCCAGCCGACTAGGCCCCGACTCCCGCAACAAGATCAGCGTCAAGCAGGAGTGGTCGGTTCTCAGCGAAGGTCCTAACGATTACAAGCGCAGCGAGAGGGACTCTTCCCTCGAGCTTCTGACCGTAGGCGGGGTGGAAGGCATGCAGAGGAAAGAAATGGGAACGGGGTTCGAGGTCGGAACCGCGATTTCGAGCCGTAACGATCTTGTCCCGACGCGCAAGATGACGCTCTCGAAGCACGACGGCACGTGGCGCGGTATAGCGATCCCGGATCAGGAAGGGAGCTCGTATAAGTCGGCTGCGTATACGACGGAACGGGAGCTGCGGTAGAGAGGTTGGCTTTGTAGATTCTGGCGGTTGGAGTTTGTACTAACTCGCTGGCTATTTTGATACGAATACTAAAAAGGGAATTTCCTACTCTTTTACGTACCTACCCAAGGTAGCAAGTGCTTTGTCTGCTGCTGCTGGTGATGTTTACAATTATTCCGGACTTCCCTTTCTAATGCTTCACCAGCGGCCTGACCTCTTGATTTCTTTTGTTTCCAGGCATTTACATATGCGGTACCCTCGTACTGCTCGAGACTCTGATAATATTTCGCCCCTAGACCCTGCAGAATCTTACATTTTTCATCCATTGTCCTAGCTAGCAAGACTTGTGCTGCCTTAGATGGTACTCGATTTCTCGTCGTACTCAGCGACCCAAACGTCACCTTCGTCATCAGCCGGCCAGCCTACACTAACCCAAAGTCATTCAGCCAACGTCAAGACCGGCTCCGTCCCCGCCTCGAGAGCATGTATCTCTCGCTCTTCACACCAAATACGTTTTCTACAAAGAGCGTATCGGCCACGGCAATCAACCCATCTCGCGTCAAGGAGTAGCAATTTCTAGCAAAACTCGTCCTCTGCCTCTTGATCCTGTTAACCCACCCATGACCCGGGACCAGGATCAAGAGGCAGAGAGTGAGCTCTAAGGCCGTGACGTTCTTTAGGACAATCAGACCGCCCCACGACGGCTAAGCCCAGAGCGAGACCTTATCATCGACGAAGACGGTACGGTTATTGAGCGATGGAACGCGACTGTTTGCGGATTGACCAAGATGGTGGCGCTTATAGTCAGGGGTTTGAAGGTGCTTTGGTGTCCGCATGATGATTTGAGAGAGCCAGTTTTGAATAACTAGAGAGAACCAAATCGATGAAAGAATTGAAGTTAGAAGGCGGGGCGATGTAAGTTTAAGACAAGATAGGATGTTTGTTTCAAGTGATGCACCTCCTATTGGCGCTCTGGGTAACCGCATCAAAGGCAGGAGTGAGGCTAGTTGCGAATATGATTGATCCTCAGCCAATCGGCGTAAGGTAGAAGATGCCATTTTGATATTCCAATCTTCTAGCCTTGAAGGCGATGGTTTCGTGTAAGCACCACTCGCCCATTATCGCGGGTTTCAAAGGAAATTTTCAGATTGTAGATAATATTAATTGCCGAACAGCTTTCAGGTTAAGCCTGTCGTCGCCACAAGAATGCGAGTCTACGTGATATCATTTCTCGAGGAACCACTACGGTAACGACTAGAACAACGGAGATATTATCAGAGATACATACATTTCTTGTTGGCACCTTCTAGGTGCAACACAGTATTATTCAGTCTTCCATATTAGGTATGTAGGTTAGGAACAATGTTGTGTTGTCTTATAAGCTCTAGACAACACCAGGAACTTTCTAGATACGGGTTATGGTGACTATCCCCACCCGCCTTAGGGATTCAGGAACTAATCGCATTGCTTTCCATGGCTATTTAAGTTGGCACATCCTCCTGGTAAATTTCAGACTTAAATGATCATTTCCTACCTAAGTGAAGTACCTATCTGTTATCACATCGAAACACCATCAACGATCAACCACAACTTACCTCAAAAGTAGACGGAAGACACACTTACATTTCGACAATGCTCCGACCAGCTTTTTATTTCATAGTTCTCTTTACGATATTCATGATTTGGTTATTGTATTTACGTTATGATTATGAATACTTATTCGTGCTGGTGTTTTCGGTTGTCGTGGACCGAGTTTGCAGAAATTATTCTAAATGTGTCCGAGTGAATACCTACTATGTACTTAGGGGTTTATATACCAATTATCCGGTGTAGAGCTGATAGTTTAAGTGCTGTCATGCATCTCCTCCACTCACCGCAAAGGCTATGAAGTGAGACTGGAAACATCTTATCAACCTTGGAAGCTAAAGACAATAAGTATAATTGGTTATTGGAAGGACTAATTGGAGCTGGAATACTTAATACAGAAGCACCATTAGCGTCTCAAATCCAAGAGCATGGTCGTACATTCATTATGAGATGAAAAAGGGGCTATTATTGCAGAAGTTATCGAGACTGGCGGACGGTTTACATGGAGACAGAAACCCTTAGAAATTTCCAAACTTGTATTACTCTTTAGAAACCTGGTGGAGATCGAAGGACTAGCAATGCCCCTTCAGGATGTTGATTGTATGTCCAGATCACAAGGAGCCTCATGACTTCGAAGCAAACAGTATCCAACTATTTTCTTTTTTCCTGTGGAGGGTTCCACCTTGTGTTTGCTGTATGATCCAAATACCACATGTCTCTCGATCTGTTTTCGTAATGTTATGAAGTATACGTAATCAGTGGACGCTGTTTGAATCTTGTCTTGGTGCTCTTCCGTCGTACATGTATTACGTGATGAGCACACCGCAGCGAAGTTACAACGGAGTGAGGCCATTTATTACTTGAGGAAGGAGCTACGCGTTTATAATATAATCGTAAGATGGGCTCTCAAATTCTCTGGATGAGTTTCTTCTTGCTACTACTAGGTACTGCTACCTCAACCCCCTTTCAAAATCACGATACTGGTATTAGACACTTGTAAGTCTTCAGTCAAGTCTGGCTTTCTGTTACTATTTTATTCCCCTTTCTAATATCTGTACGATACTAGGAACTCATCTTTTATAAGATTCTGCCTATAAATTTTCTGAACATGGATCATTCATATTCTACCACAAGGGCCATCCTTTTCATTATCGGCACAATCCTTTCTCGCCTAGCCGTTGGAAGTGTCTGGGCACAATTCTGCGATGACGAGGCCTGCTCCGTCAACTGTGGTCTTTCCGTCAGCGTCAACAACCCGGCCTGTCTACGCAAAGAATGGGGGCGGAAGTCGGTCAGATTACATGGCCAGAATTTTATTGGATCTTATCTAGTTAACTCCCCTGATGCGAATTGCGGCTGCCAGAACGACTGCACCTCCATACCTGGCACCGGGCTTCCTATCTGCATAGACCTTACCAACAAAGCCACCGCACAGTCGTACCGCTTCCAACTCACCACCTGTAAGCAAGACGAAGCTGGCCCGGGGCAGGGTGTTGGCGATAACTGCAATACCTCCTCATCTTCTGCTGCTCTACTGGCCCCTATCACTACGATTTCCTCCGCTATCATATGACTAGATCTCAAAATGGCATCAATGATATTCCAAGCGACGCCGGAAATAGGCGTTGAAGTCACAACTCGGGCTCTTTTCAATGGTTGCTTATGAAGATTAGATACTTGATTCCTAGCAAGACACATATACTTACCTAGACAGCATAGATCTTTCGTTTCATATACTTATTTAGCTAGAAAGAGAATACCAGCGACGATATCACGCAGACTGAAGGTCCAAACGAAGCTGCAATGAATAAGTCTCATTGACTCTCCAATACTGCAACCCATAAAACACTCCAAATCGGAGAACTCCATAGGGTTAGGAATAAAAAAGGCAGATAGTTCTTTAATGTTGCCCTTCTTCACGATCATATCCCTTAAGAACTGAGCTCATGTCGATCGTCTCCGTCAGTATTGGCCCCTATTTCTCTCGGATATCCAACATTGATTCCCTTTTTGCGTAGAGATGATATTTAGAGCGGACACTGTATCTACAGCGATGATAATTCCTTGGCCACCCGTTTCCTGCACCTGATTGGCCACTCTTTAGGGCGTAATAGATAAAAGGCAGTGTCTGCTACTCATGTCTCGGTGGAGTCCTAGGGTGTGCTCCCTTAGTCTTAGCCTTGGCCTGTTATATATATGTTTAATCCTGGGAAAGATATTTCAGGAAATCAAATCGTGTCCATCATCATACTAAAGTTCTCTCATCACCGAACAGGTTCCTTGTAGAACACCGGAAGGAACTTTTTGCTTCAAGTAGTATGGGGGCTGTGTTAAGTATGATAACTGTTCAGTCCCACTAACTGATCCGACCCAAATTAAGTCCAGTGCATACACAGGCGTGATTTGGACGCTATGTACGCGCTTCGACATTACTATACATCGAGAGACGTCCTAGAACAATTAGTCTAGAACCCAAGATTCAAGACCTCGTCTTGGTCTCTAACGATAGACCCAAAATGTCCAATGTGATAGCACTTATCAAGGAAATAAGCCCCCAACGCCGTACATGCAGATCACGGCGGCCCAATTACATTACCGCATTCCATATCCCATGTTCCCGAGTTGACCCTACTAGGATGAAGTAGTTGTCGATGTGATGGATAGTAATCTTCACTCTTGTTTCTCCTTGGCGTTCCCGACGAATCGCTCCTTCATAGATAGCCGTTTTCCTCCCATAGACTTGAATTTGTCGATCAGGGTCTTCCTCGAGTCTAGCTCGGCAATGTCATCGCCGCCCCCGACACTCTTTCCGTTGATCATGATATTAGGTACAGTTCGTCGTCCAGTCGTGACGCCCAACTTGGCTTGTAATTGTTTACCCAAGGGATGCTCATCGAGCTCGACGACGTAAGGGGCGGGGTCGATAGAGTATTTCTCGAGAAGAACACCTTTTGCACGTTTCGAAAAAGGGCAATATGTTTTTGAGAAGATCACAACTAATGGTAGATTAGCTATACGATATAGATCACGGTTAACATACTAGGCCTACCTGGAGATTTCTTTAGTATATTGCTGAGGGTCACTTCGACTTCGCGGTCCTCGTCCGACTCTTCCTCCTCTTCATCGGTCCCTGCGCCCGAACCCTTGCTACCTTTCTTTTGTCCTCCAGCAGAGCTTCCAACACCAACGACCTCGCTCGGCGCATCTGGTTTTAAAGGTGCCTTGGCATTGGCTAGATCTTTGGCCTTCTGCTCGGCGGCTCGCAGCCGATCGGACATCTCCTTGGCTAATTGCTCATCATCCTCGTCGACGGATCCATCTCCGTCTTTGTCCTTTACTGTTGAGTCGACGGTTGTGCCCTTGCCGCTCATGACTACTTGGCCACTACCTTGTTGGTGGCCTAGGCCATTCATGGTCTTGCCAAAGAAATCTTGCACCGTTCGATTATCGTGAGGGATGGTCGATCGCATTTGGGATGTGAAAAATAAGGTGGTAATGATGGCGGCTAGCGCCACCATCGTAAGGAGGCGTACTCTTCTGGCCGAAGGCATTATGGAGGGATTGTTTAGGGCGGACTGAGCACTGAGGGTTTACTGATGGTTACGCATATGATGGAAATCCCGGATGTGTTAGGGTGGCGAATTTACGATCGAACGGAAGGAGCTAAAGTATTCTTTTGTTTGGTGATTGTCCGCGAGCGTCTATCTGACGGCCGGCGCAAACATGCCTCTATCGTTTGGAGAGTGTCAATGGGAACAATCGGAACAAAATACCAATTAATTGTCGATTTGAATATGATTACTTAGGACGGACGAGGAAAGGTTCGGGATCTGCGCTTAGAGGGAGAAAGTTCGAAACCGACTTGTGGTTTTGATACCAGGGGGGCTATTCGAAGTTTTGACAGGGCTGAAATGGCGATCTGGCAAAGACTGGATACCGACAAGACGATTTCGAATTGAGGCGGCTAAATGCGACCCTCAGCGCATTAACAAGTTAATTAGTTACTAGCTTGCTAGTTTCAGTTACACAGACAATTAAAAAAGGTGTGCAAAAAGCAAGGAGTGATAGCTAAAAACTGATTAATTTGGTGATTAATTGAAGGGTAGTTTGAGCGGATTGAATTAAAGAAAAAAGAGTGAGTGAGGGTTGAAACATCAAAGATGGAAAATGGGCAAATACGTAGTGTAAGGAATGACGAAGGTGGTTTTGGTTGTGGTTCAAACTTTAACTTGGACGATACCCCTGTAAACTTACCATATTCACCTGTAAACCCTTGCAATTTATACCGTAGCTTGCCTGGCACCAACTGCTTTTGTGTGTGTTTACTGGTTGGACTTGCTCAAGCAGAAGTCTAGGCCCCGCAGTATGCCGCAGTACGCCGCAAACCCCCAGTCGGATCGGCAATTTTTTCTTGGTAAAGCTTTACCCTTTACATCTTTACATCGCTTACTAGCAACCTTAGAGCTTGGAAAAGGAAAACTTAACAAGATAAAATATCAATGGAAGACCTTACTTTTCTTGATCTATTTACCTAACATGGTCTAGTAATGCTCTAAAATTATCTTCTCATTTTAGATTTGGACTCAACTTGCAAGCCCCCATCTGCAAGGGGAAAGGGGCCCTATCAATGAAGCTCTGGCCTCGTATGGATTGATAAGCCTTCAAATGTCCCGGCAGCATCGCCGCGACATGCAGATCTGGGGTAAAATTTCCCCCTGGACAATGCATCATTCATCGTCCATTCACGACCCCGACCTCTCAATATATTATTATATTGCCATGTAAAGGATCAATCAAAGGTTCGAAATCGTCGGGATCTTTTAATATATCAATTCGCAACCATCCATTATTTTCTATGTTGTTCGGCATGTTGCGTTGGTTTCCGAGAGTCGGGAGAATTTGTGGGACGTCAACATGCGACAGGACGGACAATAAGGCTGGCTTACGGCTACGCGCATCCGATCGTCCCAGTCTTATATAACAAGTTGACCGACGACGTGATCCATAATTGTGAGCGGAGTATTATGCGAATAGTCTTTGCAGACAAGTTGCGTCGAACATACGATTATCCAGAAGCGTGATCTTCGTTCCTATGATGTCGCTTCGTAGGGCTTGACCATTGGCAACTCCTTTGGTGGAATGAGTGCATTGATCAATTCAAACTGGAGTGTTTACCTTCATCGCGACCTTCAAAGAATACCTGTAGTAGGAATCCGTCAAACTCGAACGCTTGGATTAGCATATTCTCATATACCGACAGAGTCTCGGTAGGTATATATCGCTAAGATACGTAGTTGGCGATATATCCTGCCGCGCGGGTATCCCCGTCGATCGAATGCGCTACTAGCCATGCTAAACAATTCCAGAATCGCTAGGCACTCCCAATGTATCGTCGCAATGATGCGAGGGGAACTTCAGTCAACTTGGCCGAGAAGGTTCGCAACAGACGGCAGGCAAGGATTGGACAGTAAGGCTGGACAGGTCACGACTGCGTAGTACTGAATTTTCTGCCCCTATGACTCGGCAGATAGGGATATCAATGCTCAAGGTTCCTGGTGCCAGCTGATGCCGGAAAGGTTATTCCTCTCACACGGTTAGTCAACACTCTGATGATTGATTTACACAGTTAAACTTACTAAGACCGTGCAGATTCTCATTTAAGCCGCTCAATCGATCTCGGCCGGGCCGCCTGTCGGTCAGCTTTGACCATGCTTGAATCCCAACTTGGGATGAAAGACAACGTTAGATATAAAACAAATGACTAATCATAGTGTTTTGGCCACAACATGGCCTATTCTTTTCTTTCGTCGATGTCGACAGGACCGTTTAAACTCTGAAATAGCAGTCATTTTGCGATTGCAGACTGTATGGGAAGTATGAGTACCAATTGACCTTGATGGCTCTTTCCTCAGTTTTGGAAATATTTGAAGAACCTTCCCCTCTAGTTGTGAGTCCGTCCTGCCATCAAGGTACGCAGTCATCGCTCACCAGACTCTACTTATTCACACCCAACTTCACTCAAGTCAGTTGGTTATTCTATACAACATCATCCATCATCCATCTTATCCAATTCTTAGGAACAGACATTGCAATAGTACTATTGGTTGGTTTATCCCCCCCACCTGTTCTACAATTTCAGCATTGACACATTATTATACAAAACAGGCGCCCGATACTTTTGCACCATCTTCTTCTTACTTCAACCCAAGCAACCTTGGAAGCTCTTTTCTTCTTCTAAATTTTTCAGCATACAAATAGGATAGTTTTACCTTCACACTTATCACGGCTTCTGAACCCGGGAAACAAAAGTTTCTTCTACCCATCAGTCCCGAACATACTCTTACATTTATCTTAACCGCCATACAAGATGGAAGGATTCCCATCCGAAATCGTCCTCGGCATTGCTGAGTGCCTAGATTCTAAGTCCCTTCTCAACCTCATGCTGGCAAACAAGGTAAGGCTACTTCTGATCCCACAGACATCGTCTTTCCGCAGTGCTAGCAGGATAAACTAACTACTCAACATAGCAACTGCACGCGCTCATCAGCAACCACGAGCGTTCGATCTCTACGAACATTGTGTCGAACTTCGTTATTCCGCCGATTGGTACGGTATTATCGTCCGAGATGTTTATGCGCCGCCCCGTTACGGAGGGTACTTTCCAGATGGCCGCTGAGATCGCCAAGCGTGACACCCACACCGAGGGTGTTTTGAATTCCGACTTTGTGAAGCGGAGCATGCCAGCTCGCTTCGAATCATCAAGCGCCGAACAGAAGCAGGTATTACACGCGCTCCTCAAGAAGGCAATTCTGCAATGCAACCACATTGCAGACATTGCTGTCAAGTCTCCATGTCGCCCAATGAACGAAATGTGCTACAACTGGATGAAGGGGAAATTTTTCGAGCCTCGCGACTTGCCCTTGGGTTACCGGCTCATGGACCCGTGTACCAACATGGGCGCGCGCGCGAGTCAGCGCGAGTACCTCACCACCCTTGCTAAGGAAGAGATCGCAATGATCTACTTCCTCGTAACGACCCTGAGTTGGGGATTCTTCCTCGACAACTTTGACCTCGCCCACGCTGACACCAACTTCCCAGAGCGTCAGGTGGTCTTCAAGGAGTGCGTGCTCCGCCACGGCTCGTGGTTCGCATGGAGCCACATCCTCGGAGATGGTGCTTGGAAGTCAATGGCAGACAAGGTGCAGAAGATCGGCTGGACCGAGCTCGTTAGTTTCGAGCTCGGCGATGAAGATACTCCCCCCAGTCTGCATTCGACTCTGGTGGAACGCTTCAACGAGCTGTACATGTCGGACCCCTCTGCCTGGGACGGCACAACCAATGGCCAGGTGAACGTCCTCAGCCAAGTAGTCTACGACCTCGTCACCGGGGACGAGAAGGAGGAGAAGCCCGCGGAAAAGTCTGCGGAGGAAATTGCGGAGGAAGTTGTGATGGAACTTTTGGAGGCAGCAGTGGAGGAGGCCGGAGAGTAAGGAGCGCAATAGAATGCGCCCGTAGCCGAGGATGATGATGATGATGATGAATTTGTTTACGTCCAAGGGCTATAGCAGTACTAAGTACACATAGCAGCGCGTATCGGTGACGCATGGGACGTCTAGAGTACCTAGGTAGGTAGGCAGAGCTAGAGTTCCGCTTGACATAAGGAAATTTTATCCTCCACTCCTGCCTCTTGCATTACTCTAGCCAGTGAGCGCCAGCCCTAGCTAGCCGATTATATTCAGGAAAAACCCTACTCCGGGTCCACCTTCTTCTAACGTCTTTCAGAACCACCCTCCAACGCCCAGCGAGCCCTAAAGCGGGGTAAAAAAACCTGAATAAATCGGACCGTTGGTTAAGTTGCCCACAGCGGGATTCGAACCTACTCGCTTCACGTAGTCGTACGCTAATGCGCGGCCAGACGCTTTAACCACTGCGCCATGTGGGAGTAGCCGAGGATGAGGCTGCTTAAGAGGCTCTGGAGGTCGGAGGTTGGAGGTGAAGGCGAGTACCAGGTTTAACTCGTATCATTATAGAGGTTGCATGGCGGAGTCGGACCAGGAGTTCTGGAAGATAGGATTGCACAGAGGATAGAGGGGCTTCGCGGCATGGTTGGTTGTTTTATGGTCCCGTGCTCTAGTCATATTTCTGGTCTCCCTCATTTGCATCGCGAGGGTGGTGATACGTTCGATTGGGTGATCTGCTTTTTGTGATCAGCAAGCTTGATATGCGCTGCTGATTTCTAGCGTACTTGTGATAGCGATTTGGGTTTCTTCCTTTTTTCTCTCTTTTTCTTGTTATCTCTATATGGCGAGATGGAGAGGATATCTATCGATATACTTACTCACATAACTTACCGGTAGTAAACCCTAGATTTGATGTCTTGACTTGGATAGGATGTCGGCGTAGTTCTCGACTTTTCCTTGGAGGCTCGCAATGTTCGTCTGATATCAATGATTCTAGAAACAGGATAAAAACCACGTTAATAATTGAACTTAACCTGTTCAGCTCGTAATTCGTAGTCGGTTCCAGTCAAACACTCCTGCGGTAGTTAGATGGAGCTATGTCGTAATTTAGCCTTGAGGATGTAAGACCTAAGCCAAAGGTACCTGGACCCAAATCCTCGTTGGGGCAGTGCTGGATACTCGCTCCAGTATGACACAATAATCTCCTACACTACTCCTGTAACAGCTAAGAACTAGCAATTTCGAAAATGAGCCAATTCAGAAGTATCTCGATAGGTTAGTCATAGGAGGGTATTGTGAAAATTCCGCAGTATGAAGCCGATCGTAAGCATCATCGTGAATAGCAACCGACGCGAAAAATAAAATTAGCTAAGAAAACTAGTAAAAATAGAGGAAGTCCGAAGCGAAAATCATGCACGTATTTGGCTAGTCCGCGATCTAGTCAAGAGATGGTCCCTCCGGGGCCACGTTCATCTCGGTTGTTCCCCACGACGGGCCGGGGCATGACATGACTCACCCGGCGGGACGGGGACGGCTCCAATTTCTAGTTAGACACGAAATATGCTGCCACGAGTTCATGTCTTTAGCGATGCGGGACACGTTGACTTGGCGATGTAAGGGGTTCGGAATTCGATCCGACCTCGCAAGGCGTGTTAGACATTGATATGTAATTAGCAGGACCTCGCGAGCTCCTAATTAGCATTGGGCCAGTAGCTGAATCTTCAATTTGGCAGCCTAGACAGTGGACGCGTCGACAAAAGGGCGGCAGACTAGAATCTTGTTGGAGTAGCTCGACACTACCTAGTCGGCCATGGAAACGGAAATGAAGAACCTGTGAAGATTTGGGGGAGCATAAGGCAGTTAACTGCCTTATGCAGTCATCAGGACAATATGTAGCATTGCACCAACGATTTGGTCACCACCATCGTCCAGTTCACCGCATTTGCAACCCTACCTATAGCCTTATAATCCTTCAACCCTATAAGGCGTTAGCGACTTGAATTAGACATGTTCACCCTATTTTTGCATACCAAGATCCACTCGATCAGATGGCTCCTCTGACGACCCAGTTAGGCAGTAGTCCGCTCTGACGGTCTTCCTATAGACCATCGACCCTACAGGGCTGTGTCATCAACCCTTGCTCAGGCTACGCAATTAACTATTAGTCACAATGGCAGCTATTATAAAGTGTATGTCTTTTCTCTCAGATTGAGGACAATTCTTGGTCAACAACAATATCAACAGCATCATCATTATCATTATCACCAAGTTATAGATACAAACCCCTTCCAATTGGTTCTATCCATAAGATAACGGCTTTAGTACACCTTTAACATCAGTCCACCACCATCATTATAAACCCTACCTACAAGGCACCTGAAAACCCCGACCAGCAATTTAATGTGTAAGGACTGCTACAAGACCACCGCCGCCTCGGTCTCTATGTCACTGGCGATGACAAACCCAGAACTCATCTGGCCCTACCATCAAGAACAAAAACGAGCAGCCCGCCAAGCGTCCCAAGCCCAACCACAGCCGCAATCCGACGTCATGTCTTCATCAGCCTCTACCTTCTCGGGCTCTACCGCTTACTCCTATGACAAGGAGCAGGGCCAGAACGATACTACTACGCAAAAGCGATCGGTTCGGCAACGAATCAAGGAGGCCTTCAAGGACATGGGGAGCCCGCCCTCAGCGTACCATGACCGGGTGAACGGCCAAAAGACGGAGGAGCCAGCCCCTGAGTACGGCCCGATGAGCTCGACGCCTCAGAGTAGGACTTGAGGTTGAGAAAGATGAGATGATAATACAAAGTACCTACCTAGACATATTCTAGGTATATAAGTTCGGCCTTTTGGATTTCAGGCTTGACTTTGCTCCCAATGGCGTACATGAATGGTCGGTTAAGGTGGCAGCATGGCTGGGTTTACTAGAACGGAGCACAATTATGCTCTGAGGAAAAGGTGCGCGATCTAATGAGGAGCACGATGCTCAGGTATACATCACACACCGCAGTGGTTTCGTTGAGGTTGCTCTGATATCCAAATTTGGGGGTGGTACTCTGGAATTCTTACTGAACGTCAGGGAGGCAATGGCGTGGAATAACCTGATCGCGGAGTAGCTATCAGTACATATCTTAGCTACGTGTTTTTATATTAGCTAATTCTAGTCTTTACATCTCTGTAACTCACCCACTGGAATTCTTTGTGTTTTCAAAACCTACCTACCTAGTATACAGATAATTCGGGCAGGCGAGATGTCACCGTTTTAATGATTACATATATGGTTAATTATAGATTCTATATTGAAACCACGTCATTTCTATCCATGTAACCAAGCAACTATATAGCGGTGACAATTTTAGTTATCCCCGGGTGCTCTATTTATAATCTGAATAGCAAGATATCTTGAACTTGAACATCATCTACTTGGAACCTATCTGCTTAATGACGAAAGCAATATGATAGGAACTGCAATATGCATCCATCTAAAAGTTCACACGTCATCCTTGTATTATTTGAAAATAGCGTCCTATTTTGGTAATATGCCGAACCTGTATGACACATACCAAGGTCCTGCAGGCTTTTGGCGATGGCCCCCACTGTGCAAACTATTCCGAAAACAAGGTTGATCTTGCTTCATTCGCAATGTGAAAGTATTGCGGACATGTTATATCTTCTCCGCAGAGCCTCATTTGAGGGTCACCTAAGCTAAAATTCGAAAGTGGCATTGGAAGGGGGAAAGACGAAAAATAAAGAAAGGTAAGATCGATCAACTAATTGATAAAAAGACAAAAAAAGTTGTGATTTCCCTCGGGCCGGAATCGAACCAGCGACATTTCGGTAACAATTAAATATTCAATTACAGCCGAACGCCATAACCAACTAGACCACCAAGGGAGTGGTTGGTTTGTGCCTTACTCTTCAGAGGAAGTGGGCTTCCTGCGAGGGGAAGGTGAAAGAAAGTTCTGCAAAATGGACTATGTACCCCTCACGGATGCTCCTTCTTAGCTTTACTCCGTAAATAGCCGTAATTTACCGACACAAGCCCGGTCCTCATTACGTAACCAAATGCTTGTAGAGATGCTTCACTTCTTGGCTTTAACTTAACTATGAGATTCAACTGATCCAACTAAGTCAACATTGAAACGAATACGGCATTAGTAGAAAAGGCCCAAAGACAAATTCAAGAGAATAGGCATCTGTCATGCTTGGAAGCGTATAAGTTACCTCAAGTGCTCTCTGACATCAACACTCATTTTATCATACTAGTTCCTATGAATCTACCGATGCGCGCGAATGAATTCAGGCTCGATTCGCTATGAAAAGGCAACCTTGTCGTGAAGTTTACATCGTGCCATTTCCAAATAACCCTCAACCCAAACCCCTTACAAAGATGGAACAAGAGAGTTGACGTAAACCTCAATATTCGCATACCCAGAACCGCCGATCTCCATCGCATCGCTCGGATCCTGCGGATCAAGCCCATGCGCATCTTCCCACTCATCCGGAATGCCATCACCATCCGTGTCCTTTAACGCGCTCGTAGCCATACTGCCCCCTAACTCGCCTAGGAAACTCGCGTTCTCGTCGCTGATCAGCTCTCCCTTCTTACCGTAGCTCTTCACTTCCGCCACCAGCCCCTCATCCACGTCGTCGCGCGCCGGGAAGTTGGCGCCGACGTTGCTGAGGACGTAGGGCACTGCGTCGGGAGCCTTCATCAGACGCTCGGGGCCCGGGTAGTCGAAGCGCGTCTGTTCGATGGCCATGTCGCTGTAGCAGCTTGTCTCGACGCACAGGGGAGACCCGTTGAGGGTGCCGTCTTTGTTGCTGTCGTAGTAGTTCTCGGAAACATCTAAGCGCCAGTGAGTTTTCTGGTTAAGAAATTTGGTAGGATTGAGTACGTACAGCCATGGAAGTTGGCGTTTCCCCGCGTGAAAGCGGTTACGCTTGTGCTGGGCCCGGAGATGAAGTAGTTGTTGACGATGTTGGCGTAGCTTTGCCCGGCACTGTCGCCGGCGATGTAGCCGCCGCCTCCACCCCAGTTGTAAATGACCTGGTCAACGGTCAGTAACTGTTATGCTAATGGCATATGGTATTTCACCCCTAGGTGGGCTCACATTGTTCTGGAAGTCGTTCATGCCCTTGACCTTGGGGTTTCTCGTCTTGTTGTCGATATACAGGTTCCTGAAGAGACTAATACCGTAATCCGACTGCATCAGTCCACCGCATGAATGCGTTTCTAGGCCTTGAGCGATAATCGTATTCTGTATGGTCACGTTGTGTACGGCGCCGTTGATAGAGAATGTTTCGTCTCGGCCCCAGGCCGCCGAGACATGGTCGAATATCATGTTGCTGCCGTCGGCAATGGTAATACCATCTACCAATTGAATATGATACGTCAGTCGGGTTCACCGGCTCATTATATCAGAAATTACCTTTACCCGAGTCACCACCCTTGCCCATGCGAAATCGGATATAGCGCACGATGGCGTCGTTGGCGTTAGAGAACGACATCCCATTGCCATAGACCGTGATTCCCTTAAATCCAACCATCAGCACCCATAACTCCCTCATTACCAACCTCGACACAACTTACATCACCCGGAGCCGTCTGTCCTGCGATGTAAATATTCTTGGAGACAGCAATCCTCGTGTCAATATTGATAGTTCCTCCCACGTCGAAGACGATTATACGGTTCGCCTTTGACACGGCGTCACGAAACGACCCCGTTCCTGAGTCGCTGTCCAAAATTTGTGAGATAACTAAAGAGGCAGGAGTGCACTTCAATACTCACTCGAGGTTCGTTACATGGTAGACTGAACCTGTCCTACCACCGACGGCATTTCGACCAAACCCTTCAGCTCCAGGAAACGCTAGAAGCGCCGTAGCCCTCGATATAAGCGTCGCTACACACGTCGTGACAAAAAGGCCCAGGATACCCATGGCTGCGAATGGCTCGGGACAGCATACTAGAAAAGCAAACGCGTGAGTACATCGTCATGAGGAAGTGGTAGATATAAGAGGAAAATAGGTTAATTAGCGACTTAACCCGGCACCGAGCGGTCGCTTCCAATTTGCCCGGAATGTCTCAAAAATATCACGGAGCGTTGCGGACGGTACCTAGATTGGCCAGGATGACCGGGTTTGAGTCGCATCGCAACACTTCGGCTAAACCTATACGAAATTGGCAGGTTAAATCACAAGTTATGTTTGCTTAAAATATCTTCTGCTTTCACCCGATTCATGATCTTAACGATACTTAGTCCATTATGATCTATTTTAATCCTCATCTGAGATACATTACCACCGACGGGTATCTATCGTTACTCAGTACACACTCATCAACTGCTTCCAGACCATCTATCCTGGTATATTCAAATCCAAAAACAAATAAACTCCGCCCAGCCAAGCCATTTCAGTACACAAAGTAAAGGGGGACAAGAAGAAGCGGCGTCGTCATACGTGAGAATATAATTACCTAAGTCTACATCTCGTCTTCGAAAAACTTGATCAACGTCCTGGCTCCCGAAACCCCAAGGCCCATGAAAGGGTAGCAGATATAAACCGGATCATGTTTAACGCCAAACTTCTCCCTGAACTCGCTCTTCGCGATTAACTTCAGTTGCTGTGCCACTGTCTTGTACGTGCGACTGAGAAGTCTGGCTTTGATGCCGTTTAGGTTGCTGCCGATGAGTAACTCATCCATGGCACCCGCACCGAAAGTTACACTGTTAATACCTGAAGCTGTAAGGCTCTGAATGGCGCGGGAGATGAGGGCTTCGATACTTCCGGATGGCGAACCAGGGAAGTCGAGGGCGAACTTAATTTGATAACCGTGTTCGGGCGAGAGACGGTGCAAGATGACAAGCCCTACAATCTCGCCGTTCTTGTCCTCAGCCCAGAGATAGCGACGGTGAGCCATCGCTACCCATGGCCGAACTTCGGTGATATGCACCTGCTTGCGACCTTTGCGGCCTTCCTTCCAGTCTTCGATTCGCTTGTCACATTTAGCCCTCACATCGTCGGGCACCGGTTGTCCAAGGGCCGTTTCGTGGATTTTCACTTCGGCGTTCTTTGCTTGGCGTTCCTTCTTAACCACCCTGTTCGCGTTGCCTACATCAACGCGCTCCTCGGCCACACATGTTAGTGTTCGCCATCCGAGCTTCGCACCTAAGATCTCTTCAACTTGCGCCGATGCCAAGATCCAAATAGGCCGGAGATCCTCATGCTTCTTTAGGTACTTCAGGAAAGAACTAATAACGATGCCATACTGGCGTGGGTCGCAGAGTGGATTTCCCATGATCATCGCATATTTGTTTTCCTCGGCGTATCCCACTGCCGCTCCGGTTTCGGTATCCCGCCAGACTTTATACCGTTCATCGAGCCAAGAAGTGTTTGTCGCATCACCATAGTTTACGATGAGCTTCTCTAGGTCAGGGAGGTGAACATGGTCGTGCTCCCCCTCGAAGGCATAACGGACAGTATCAGCTTCGGGGAACGGAAGCTTATCGGATCCCGGTTTCTTCGCTGGTAGTGATTTCGGATCTCTCGGGAAGAGGGTGGCATTTCGAACGTCTCCTAAGTTTAGTAGTAGGAATAGTACACGTTCAAGGCCAATACCACAACCTGCGTGTGGGGGCGCCCCCCACTCGAAAGCCTGCATATACTCTTCCATTCCATCCGGGTCCACTCCTGCCTTCTTCATCCTCTCAGCTAATAGCCGTGGATTGTTGATTCTCTGGCCACCTGTAGTGATCTCCTGACCTCGGAGAAATATATCGAAAGAATTCGTGACCGTATCGTCGTTCGGGTCCAGATGCGTGTAGAAAGGTCGTGCCGATGTTGGGAACTTGTCAAGGATGAAGTAATCAGTCCCATATTTCTCCTTCACCAGCTGGCCAAGTCGAATTTCGGACCGAGTCCCAAGATCCTCGTCCTCAGCAGCTGGCCTGCCGTCATCATCCGTCCATCCCGATGAATTCAACAACTGAACTCCCTCCTTGAAGGTGAGGCGCGGAGTTTGTTCCAGCCAGACGAGATCCTCATGAGGGAACTTGGTCTTGACATTGTCAATTTCCTTGCGGCATCGAGCGTAAACGCCCTTGAATATGGATTTTAGCAACTCGTCAATCACATCCATAGCTTCGTGATAGTCTTTGGAAATCGCCATTTCCAAATCTAGACCGGTATATTCAGTTAAATGCCTGTGAGTGTTGCTATCCTCGGCTCTGAAAACGGGCCCGATCTCAAAGACGCGGCCAAAATCGGAAGAAATTGCCATCTGCTTTGCCAATTGCGGACTCTGTGCCAGAAAAGCGTTTCTGCCGAAATAATTGACTCTGAAGACTTCTGCACCCGATTCGGTCGCAGCGGGCTGGAGCTTGGGTGTTTGAATTTCAATGAAACCCTGCTCGTCAAGTGTGGAGCGGAATATGTTGCAGATGGAAGAACGGATGCGGAAAACGCTTTGCATGACTGGGGTCCGGAGGAAGAGGATTCGGTTCGCGGAGCGGACTCGATTTGAGACTGCGAGTTGAGTCTCGTGACTCTCGTCCTTTTCTTCCACCTGTTCCATGTTGTAAACATCAATGGCTAGGGGGTCCTCTACTTGGACCAGGACGTGCATGCTGTCGATGTGAATCTCGAGATCGTGTATGCTACAGGTCTTGATATGTTCTGGCGGCTCGCGTACAGTACCTTGAACGTGTACCACGCACTCGGTATTCAAATGCTCAGCCCATCGTACAAAGTTTTCCGATACAGCCCCTTCTCGGACTTGCAGAACGCCTTGGACAGTGTCAACCTGTTGACGCAGAAGGATGAAGGCTAGCTTTGAGCTTACAGACCGCACATGGTGTAGTCGCGCATTGAAGCTGATGGTCTGTCCAATGTGGTCGGCCGATAGATGTTCTAGCAGAAACGATGGCGGTAGAAGTTCCGCGTCGATCGTGCCATAGTTTGATCGTATCTCTGGTGGCTCGGTGGACAGTGCTCTTTCTTCCTCCTCTCTCTTCTTTGCTTGTAGAGATTTTCTTTCCTCTTGTTGTGATTCTTTCTTAGCCCGCTTCTTGTATATAGCCTTCAGGTGTTTCTTGTCCGATTCGGAATCTAATCCCTCTGTGTCGCCAAGATGAACCTTCGTGATGTGGTTCTTAGCGGACGTATGTCCGATGATTCGGTTGAGTATGAGGAGAGGTTTCTTCAGCCTTATAGAAGGCGCCATTACGTCGTTGCCGGGCGTCTCTATAATCTCGGTGCTAACACGCGCAGATGTCGTGGATGTCGGGGATGTGCGGCCAAACTCGTCCAAAAGACGGAACGCTGACAGCAAAATAAGTTGAAAAGGTTGAATATGTATGGTAAATAATTTATTCCGAGGTAGGCAAGTACCTACTTTAACAAAAACTTGTCGGGCTCTATTTGGTCTTGGGAAGAAAGAGCAACGGTAGTTGCAGGCAAGTGCGGTTTATAATAGGTAAACCTTGGCAGGAACCTAACTTACAGGCCAAAGGCTTAATTGCCTCTAGCGACTTATCCGGGATTTCCTGCGCTTGAAGACTCGGAACCGGAATCTACGGCCAATAGAGCTCATGTGACGAGATACATATTTCTGAAAATATCCATCGAGGATCCGAACGACATCTGGATTTTTCATGTACATATCTGTGACGACAACGATATACCCCGGTACTTCCGGAGCAAATAGACCGGGTGGTGCTTAGCCAATCAAAAGTTGAGTTGGCTTGCACGTATTCCCTAATTGGTAAATTTTGTACTCCCGTACAGGGATTTAAGGCAATAAAGATGCCACAAATGACTTAGGTCGACCTTAGATTGCCGTGTTTTTGTGGAACCGAAACTCATGACATCACCACATTGAGCATCCAGATCCGACAATTGGATCTTGGATCCCTTTGTAACGCTCACCCAAATACCTACCTAGGTACTCATTAATAAAACCTGTCTATCGAAGCGAGATTTTATGATTTACGCTTGTCATTAGCCAAGGGACGCTATGTATAAAGCCACAAATCTTAATTTTCCCCTGCACTAATTTTGCAGAATTTCCGAAAGTCCGGCGCTGCTTGGCTGCTTTGGGGTGCTTGGGGTAAGGCTTAGCTGGGTGAGGCTCGAGCCAACCCCCTGTTATCCCTGATTGATAAACGTCATATCAGTGGATCAGTGGGCAGTTGTTCCTGTTTACGCAATGCGACCGATTAACTTCTGATAATACATGTCTTCATATCCTGACTTGCTGTCTCAGACAATTTGGAGTTTCAAACCTTCCACCATGGTATCCAGGTGCTTTTATCTGTTAACAAAACACCATTCTAGACTTAATTAATATCACAGACGCTTTAGAAAGACAGATTTGTTGGAGATCCATCACTTGCGCTCATTTTAACTGATGGACGTCAAAATGCAAACCGTCGAAGGAATACCCGTCATATCGAGCAACCCAGAAGCAAATTTAGCTAAAGGAGAGGTGCCTCCTAACCAGAAACCGAAGAAGGCGAAGGACAAGACAGGAACTCCCCCTTCGCGCTTTTCGCTCAGAGTAACAGCTGGCTGGTGGAGGTCTCTACAATGCGTTGGAATGAGCTTACACTTCCTAGCACCGCCGCGACCCCCAAATCCAGATTTCGTCAAGTCTATCCCTTCTACCTTGGCTTCCACCGAAGGTCAATTCACCCTTCAGTTCTACCTCCCCGAAGGCTACACCAAGGATCCGAATAGCGATAAGTGGCCAGTCGTTGTTAACTTTCACGGCGGAGGATTTACGCTAGGGAACGCATCAGACGACGCAAGATTCGCGCGCTTCGTGCTCGAGAAATGCCACGCAGTATTTGTCTCTGTCGACTATCGGCTTGCGCCAGAATTCCCTTTTCCTACGGCCGTTGACGATGGAGCCGATGCATTATTACATATCATCAAAAATGCCAGGGAGCTTCGAGTTGATAAAAATAGGATCGCGACCTCGGGATTTTCCGCAGGTGGTAATATCGCTCTTACAGCTCCGATTCGCTTGTTTGAGCATCGAAAAACGGCAGAAGTCCCCGAGTATCGTATCGTCGCTATCGCAACTTGGTACCCGATAACCGACTACACACTTAGCCGTGCTGATCGCCGAGCATCTGCGCTCCGTCCTGAAGCCACCCTGCCGCCGGCATTAACAAATCTCTTTGATGCCTCGTATCTGTTCCCTCCCGAATTAGATCTGGCTCACCCGTTCTTGTCGCCTTCAAGGGCATCGGATGAGGTACTCATGGATGCGCTGCCTCCGAATGTGATATTTTACACGTGTGAATGGGACATGCTGTTGCGCGAGGGTGAGGAACTCGCTCAGCGGTTACAGAAGCCGCCTATCTCGAAGAACGTCTACTACACCATGATATCTGGCGTGGGGCATGGTTGGGATAAGGGGCCGAACCCAGTGAAACCCCCGGTTAAGTCTGAGAAACTATACGGAGAATGTTGCCGGAAACTTAAAGCCGTATTCGAGGAAGATCAGACACATGCAATCCTTCACCTTCCAATCAAGCTACCTACACTACGGCTTCCCAAACCTAAGAACGGGAACGACGCGGAATGAATAGCCACCTGGGTATGATAATGGAACACCATGTATATACGCAAGAATACCGCCTGGGGCCGCTAACAGTCGTAGATCCCATAATAGACTAGAGATAATACCAATAAATCAGATGCCAACATAATATTTCATTACTCCTATATTGTATTCCCGGGAACTGTCTACTCAGTTCTACTCCGAACACTCGCCTCTCACAGCTTATTAGATCTTATTTTCTTATCTCTTAAATTTACGTTTATTCTCCTAGGTGTGTAGCGGTGACCATTGGTTTTATGCATGAAATAGCGAATACGCGTAATGTCAGATTCAAGACAAGATTCGTTTCCTGTGTACCGTCGCAACGAGCCAGATATCAACGGTCGTACATACGTCATCCCGTTGTTGTGGTGGTGGGCGTTGGTGGGGCTATGCCGAGCTGCTGGGTTTCACAAGGGGCAACACGACTCATAAATTGCATAAACTACAATACGTGCGTTAGTTATTAAATGTCCTGTTATTTTTTATTGGCAATAAAATGGACGCTTGCTTTGTTCGATGAACCTGTAGATACATATCGCATCCGAGTAATGCATATAATTCTAGATTACAGGGATGTGTGGCGGATTGTTCGGAGCTTAAAATTTGGGACCAGATGCTCCTAAGGGGTATCCCTGCATCGAGGCTTCGAATGAATAACGTCATCGTCATCCTCTGGGCTTTCGTCAGTCTTCGTATCATTACTTTGATTACTTTGATCGATCGATAATACATACCGTTTCTATGTCCGACCACATCAGAATTCTGGCGTCTATACACAACATACCTAGTAGTCACCATACGATGGGCTTGATCGCCTCCCACAACATTGGGAGTTTGTTTGCTAGTGAATGATTGAATTATTCTCTCGTTCGGCCGAAGAATTCTAATTACACTCTATTCACCAAAAAGCCAGCCGCTGGCAAGTCGCGATATGGCAAACAATGACTTAGAAAATGGACGCGCCGCCCTAAACCCGCCTGCAGCAATGCTAGGCCCGGAAGAGTCCGGAGGCGAGTCCGTTTCTTCTGCTATCGCGGTTAAGGATCAAAGCGAAGAGCTACCTGGCCTACCGCGACTGAACTATAAGCTCCTAGATCACAAGAAGAAGCTATTCCTAGTCGGAGGACTCTTACTTCTCGAAGGAAGTATATTACCTATTGTTCTCTTTTATCCTCTGTGGTTCGATACCGACCTGAGACATGGCATTCGTAAGTACCCATCTCCATTCCCTTCGTCTATCTACGATCTGCAACCTTTGGTGTTGTTGTGTCATAAAAAGGCATCTCGTGGAATAGACGAAACCTATCCAAGTTATATACTTATACGTGATCCCCAGTTTTCGCAATCATCACATCATTCTTCGGTCTCGTCTCCGGTCTCGAATTCGCTCATCGGTCGTGGCGTCTTATCTTGAAAGATGATCACTACCGACCATTAGATGGCAAGCGCTGGCGCTTCGACTTCACACATATGACACTGTCCGTAGGATACACAGTTATGACCGGAATATTAATCGGGGCGTCCATCCCGAATGAGCCGTTGGTTCGCCCGCTCGCGATGCCTCTACCCCTATTTTTCATTGAAGTTGGCTCCCTTGCTATTGCCACAGGTTTTATGGACGCAATGAACCTACCGGCTACATGCAAAGTCAGCTCTACGCCTAAAGGTGCACCGATACCGCCCATACTCTTGACGTTCATAGAGGACGTTGTCGCCGTCGACGGCGGCGCCGGGAAGACGTACAGACAAAGGCTGTTGAGTAGGTACAAGATAAGCAAGCATTTCAGAGCGCTTATTAAAGGCCTGAATTGGTTCTGGGGCATCGGGTCCATGCTGATCGGGGCTGGCTCATTGGCTGTTGTGTGGACAGTGCCCCAGGAGATCGCCTACGGCATAGGTGAGTTATAACAATACCAAACCTCCCATTCTACCCACAATACTGATCTGATGTGTCTAGGTTGGGGAGCGCCGCTAGCTTTCGTCATTATTTGGCTAGTGATTACAATACCATGGACACATCGGAGTCTTCAAGTTGAAAAGAAGCAATGGATGGCTGACTTGCGACGTCGGAGCCAGCAGGGGAACGAGAAACGACCCGAGTCATGAAATAGACGAGTACATAGAAAATGGTATAGACTGTATTGCTTTTTGCATCTATTTACTCATAAATATCGATCACGTGAAGTAATATTCGCGTGTAGCGTGACGATCGGACTCGTAGTCTAGCCCCCTTTTAACTTACCCCCTAACCGCACCATGTAAGGGGCACCGGATGTACCAACCCCAAATGATAACTTGCCACTCACATCATCGTTCAGTAAGCCCGAATACTTCGATATATACAACTCAAAGTATAGTATATATAGGTACGAATTATAAGTCTAAATGTTCAAAATATCCCGATCCAACGCAAACCGTCTATATCATCCCACCGCGTAAGGGGCGCCAGTTAATGCGAAATGCAAATATCCAAATCAACCCAAAACTCCAGCGCTGATGCAAATGAGTGACCGACACAAATATCCCCCGTCATATGTCCCGTAAACACATTACCCGCGTCCCCAAACCCCAGAATAAAGCAAGCTTATTGGTACTAGGTACCTAGGTACCTAGGTATGTAGGCAGACACTTAGCACGTGTAAGTGACATAAAGCCCATTCTTCCCGTCCTGCTCGAGGTACACGCGGCCGTCGCCGCTCGCGGCGTCGATGGACAGCTTGTAGTACACCGCCTCGGCGCACGCGAAGGCGCCCACGGTGTGGTTTACGGCGTCCTTGCTCTGCTTGTCCCAGTACGTGAAGTCCGCGTGCGTCGGCCTCGCGCCGCCCGACACGAAGGGCTTCACGCTGTTCGCCGACACGGGCGTGCCCGGCGCCGGAAAGCCGCTAAGCGGCTGGATCGCGGTTAGCCCGCTGCCGTCGACGACGAAGGTCCGCTCGGATTCGGCGGCTTGCGCCCACATCAAAGTGCAGGTTTTGGCGGAGCGCGGGATCCCGCTGAAGGCGGCGACTTGTTCTAGAGATGGCTGAGTCCCGTTTGATGCTTGGACTTGCAGGTACGTCACCGGCGAGACCGAGAGGTCTGGTTGTGCCGGGTACAGGTTGTACATCGTGGGCTGCCAGATGCTGCCGCTTTGGCAGGTGCTTGCGGCAGGAGTGGTGGTAACGGCGGCGCCGACGGTGGTCGGGGTCGCGGGTATGGCTAGGCTCGTTGTGGCGACGGGCGGGAGCGCGCATGGGTCTTTCTCGAAACACCCCCGGTACCCGTTGGCGCAGGCGTAGAATACCTTGCCCGTTGGGCAGTCGGTCCATTCGCGGCGCGAGAGCGAGCCGGCGTTGATGGGGCCTGCTAGGGCTACTGCTGCGAGGCAGGCTAGGGAGGTGGCGGTCCTGAGGATGGAGGACATTTTATTAGAGAGTAGTAAGTATGTATGGCTATGGTTATTGTCGAGAAGGCGCAGATTATAAAGAGTTGTATGAATATATGAAGTCACTGATAGTTTCAGGATCAGAAGGCGTGTTGATTATAAGTACTAAGGATTAGATAGATAGGTAGTATGTGCTGAAGATATGTATAGGAGAGTGAGAGATAGTAAGTCATTTTAAACCGATAAACCGCCATCTTTATATCTACTATCTACAGACTCATCATGTTGGTACCCGTCGTAAAATGAACTGACACGAGGCTGGGCGAAGGAGTGTCATGGCGGGGACCTGGCTGCTGACAGCAAAACGCGGCTGAGTGCAGTTGGGGAGAGAGGCAGTTGGAATAGAAGCAGCGGGCAGCGGACTACGGGCCCGAGGATCGGGTGTATCTAGGTAGGTACATAATAAGGAAGAGGCAGGGAAAACGAGGCGTTCGATTTTACGAGCTAGATGAGAGTGTAGCAATACTCGTTACTTTTTCCTCAGCTAGACCCCACAGACAAGAACCAAGAGCGGGGTGTTCGCACGGAGATCGTAGCAACACACGGACACAAAACGCAAAGCAAAATGCTTCTAGCCGAGCCAGCACAGAGCTAAGTGTAGGTAACCCCAACCCGATCTTACGAAATACGTGGCTGTGCGGCCGTAGGCGTCCCAATTCGACCCGCCAACACGGTTGGGGATGCCAAGGCCTTGGCGTGCTCTATTAATATATCTACCGTGCAGCCACGTGGGGACCTGCGGCTACCCATCAGGCGAATAGTCGGGCGTACTATGTAGCAGCTGAATAATATTTTATGCAAAAGCCAATACTTTGCGCTCCCCACGATTCCTTCGCAGTGGCGCCTCTAGTGTAGCTCTCGACGGATGTCTGCGGTTCGTGGAGTACCTAGTTTACTCGTAAGGCATGATGAGATGGCTTGTTCAAGTCTAACTTGGTACTACGTAGCATCATGAAATTATTAGAAGGATACCTTTTGTTTGGTTGGCTTGTAGCCTTCCTTGCTTATGCCTAGAAGAACGGCAGTTATAGTCTTTGAGGCTAACCAATAATGACCTAGGTACATTTAAGTCTTAGTCAACGTAGGACTTCAGGAGATAACGGGCACTTGGCATAAGATGAGATAGCCGTATGTGTTGGAAACCGTCTGTGATACAATATGGGAACTAGGTAGGCTTGGATCTTTTGAGACGTTATTCCTGTGTCACGTTAGTAGGTAAGTCTCGCATGTGGCTGTAACGTGCTGCAGTGGGCCGTGTAATTGGCGACAACATGGCTTGCGCCGTAATTTAACCTAACAGATTCCCCAGTTATATTCCAACGTCTTGCTTTACCCTTAACAAGTTTCAAAATAACTTCATCTTTATCATCAGGATATCAACTTACCAGAGTCTAGGTCGCCAAGGTCACGAGACAAATTCCTATCAACTATTACACAAACCTTGAGTCTACATTCCAACTTGGTCTCATTTTTTTAATCAAATACTATTTCTTATGTATTTCTATGTTATTCGTCTTGTGGAATACGTATGGTGTAAGCCTGAATTTCTGCAAGTGCTAAGCCTCCTTTTCACTAAGCCGACCTTTGACACTAACAAGATGATCCCGTATCCAAGTATAGAAATTCCGTTGGAACTGTAAGGCTGGCGCCTATAGGAAAGTTTTATGAAGAATGCTAACATTGAGAACCGTGTATTGGTTCGCCTTCCATCAGCTCGTCTAACCCAACTTCATGAGAAGGCTCTGCCTCTTGTCTTGTTTGCTTTTCAATTCCTGAAGTATGACTACGCGTCCTCGATGATATAGGATCCGGAACGTCTTCGATAAGGCTGTTCTGGTCTCTAGGCCAGTTGTATCTCCTATCTCCCCAGAAGTCGTGATTTATGACAGCATCAATGTCAATTCGCTCCTTTGGATCATGCTTAAACATGCGGGATAAGAGATCTGATAATAGAAGAACGTCTTCTCTAGGCATACTAACTACCCGCTTTATCCATTCTCCCCCCTTTTTAGGTGGGTCTTCACTCATGCGTTGCCGCTTCGTGTCTCTATCTTCGGAAGATTCATCTGCATCTCGTTTGGCTAACAGCTCTCGAAGAATCATCTCACTTGTAGCCGATTCCGTTTCGCTACCGCTTGGCTTATGTTCAGGAGGGGTCACACTACCTTCGGTCGGCCTTGTTGGCGTAACGACAGACTCCCCTTCATGGAATTGTCCTAGTCGATTCTCAGATGTGTTGGCTATGTGCAACGAGGGAGAGTTCGAATTTCCCTTGGTATTTTCATCTAAGTCTCCTGAGACCGAGTTATCTTCTTCAATTCCGTCAAAAATGAGATCGGCCTGAGCGTGTATATTTCCTTGAGAACCTTCGTCTTCCGAAGTCCAATCTTGGTTTCCACTTTCTAGACTATCAGTATCGGAACCAGTATCATCCGATGAAGTATATGCTTCATTATTCCTCTCGTAGACGGAGCATTCTCGTTCTCTGCCCAGCGATGCTTGTAGAGGATTTGACCAATTAGATTCTCCTATAAACATTTCCCGCTTTTTTTGCAACTCTTCCATGGAAAACGAAAGTGGATGGTATTTGTTAGGAATTATCTCTGCAGGCATCGACGGCTCAGGATTTGAGTTCTCTTTTTTAGTTTTTAATGTAAGACCACGTTTTTTATCTCTCTCAAGATATGTAGTTGCCAGCTGCCGATACTCCGCTGGTAAGGGACCAAACCATTCTTCCATCTGGTGTATCAATGAAGTGTAATTTTGATACTCGCTGAATAATGGCATTCGAAGCTTGATTTCGTATATCGTGCAAGCGAGTGCCCAGATATCCTGTGGGGGTCCGCTTACAGCTTTCGTAAATAGGAGCTCCGGTGCGGCATATTGCCTGTTCCACTTAGGGAATGCTGGAGGTTCCGATGAGTAGAAACTGTCATTAAAATCGACAATCACCACTCTCCCTGTGGGGCATTTCTTCTGTATCATGTCTAACGAAATAGGGAATACTAGATAATTAGGTCCGTGAGGCTTCGGATCCTCACCCGAAAGAGTTTCTAGGGGTACATATTGCCGTGGCCCAAGATACTTGCTGAATTGACGACTAGTCAATTCCATCAAATCGTACATATCCAGCTGCATCAGTATGTTACTCGGTCTCAGGTCTGACTAAGTTAGCTTTTCGGGTCTGTTTCTTGGGAACGAGAAATATTTACCTCCATGGCAAATCCCCTTTCGATGAAGATATTGCAGTCCCTTGCTTACTTGAAAGGTCAAATCTGTCAATAATTCTGGAGTATAGATGCCCATACCATCGGGGTGATTCATATATAAATTAGGCCCAAGAAGATCTGAAACAAAGCAGAGATGACGCCCGTTTGGACCATTGATCCAAAAGTATTCTCGAGGTATGTTGATGTGGTTCTCTCTAAGTTCCTTGTCGCTAACGTCGGCCAGAACCTTCAATATTCGAAGTTCCGGGCATTCTTCGACCGATTCTGCCGCAGTCATAACTTTTATTGACATGTAATCTCTACATCTCTCGTCGTAACAGAGCCACACCGTAGAACTGACACCCCATCCAAGTTTGTGGACAACTTTAAACCGATTATCTGGATCAAGGTAGTCATTGAAATGGATTGGATGATATCCACCAGGTCGATATCTCTCCCTCTCTTCGAGATCCAGTGCGTCATCCCCCGCCGCAAAGTATAACCGCTGGGTTGGCTCCATCTGTCACTCGGGTTATATCAAAAGTGTAAACGAATGCAAAACGCGATCTTTCTGATGGGAGCGAAATGGCACGCTCTATAGAAAAAAGATATGTCTATATCCCGTTCATAATTAGACTTGCTATGCTATGGCCCATTCTCACGCGTTGTTTATCGACAGGCACAGGTTTCAACATAAAATGGAGTGGCTAATCATACCTAGGAGAGTGTCATATTGAATATACGTGATTCTTTGTCTAAGTCGGGCCTGCTTTCGGAAAATGACCAACTTATCAGACCTCTCATAATCAAGTCTTTGTTCTAAGGGTACCTAGATATCACGATAAGCATTTGGCGGTTCCTTGCTCGCAGACAAGATTTACTGATTGATCCTTCAATAATAGAAACACATCATCCATGTTACGGTAATTGTTACGTAGTGTGTCTACCTTCCTGGTATGTAGGTACCTTAGGGGACCAGCATATGATCTCTTGCCTCTATCTCCTTATAGACGCCTATATCTAACCTAGAGTATTCATCCCACAATGATGTTCAAAAATTAGTTAGGAGTTTACTATAATTAGTTCCGGAACAAAGCGTATCACTTGGACAATGTTCCATTGTAAGGCATACGAAGTTAAGATTATAATAGATAATGGGAAAAATTGAAGTCGAACAATCACCCAGTAAACAAACACTTTGGTTCTAAAACTTCTTTATAATATGTCACCTTTCAGTTAATGGTTCATTTAAATTGGTAGTATACGTAGAGCTTATAAGCGTTCATGTTTAAACGTAAAATATCAACCTATTGTCGACCACATATACTCATAACAAGAACCTAGTAAGTTACAACTTGGAATATATCTAACAAGATGTTTTCAGAAGTATCCAGTTCCGGTTCAAGGCCTTGGAATTTTGGAATGACTCTTCCACGTGGAGGTCCACCCAACATTAAATTGAGGCAACAAGACCTTAGTGATTGCCCCAGAGATGGCGAAGGAACGCTCGAAAATCCTATGGTAATCTGGGCTGCTCATTTGACAGAGAGACAGCGTCGGGAATTGCAAGTTCCCGAATTTGAATATGAGGAGGATCTTTACCGTGCAATTGACGCTAATGCAGATATGGCTAAGACAGCAGCTATTAGGGCGGGATGTACCATCGCGTGGATTATTTGCCCAGTTCATACCAGCAAATACGTATATGACAACGATGGAAATAAAATCCCTATAAAATGGGACAGGAATGCCAACCCTGTGGAGTATGCTGTTACAGATGCTGATCCCCATCTTACTGTTAAGCTAGGTACGAGCGAAGACTTGTGCCATCTCCATGGGCACATAAATGTTGTTTTGGATGAAAGAGGGTTTCCAACTGATTTCATGAAAAGCTTCCAGAGACGTCAGCACGGTCATGTCACGGACGGTGACGACAGATCTATGGAGCTTTTTGAGTGGGGTAATAAGGGGGAATTCAACCAAGAACGTCTTCAAAGGGAGGCCGCAGATTACGAACTCTTCAAGGCAAAGACACTGGCTTGGGGAGAGGATTGGGAAATTGAAGACGATATAAAAGATCGTGATTATGTCGACAGAAGTCATGGCATCGAGGTTCCAGCTTACAATCCCATGGACTACGAACGCGTATCCAATTATGAATCAACAGGACTCAGCCCCGAGTTCGAGAATTACATCGTCCGGAGGTGGAACCCTTATAGAGAAAACGGGTATGCTATTTCCATACAAAAATTTGGTTATAGCACCAGGAGATTCAGGAATTATAATCCCTCGCCCTGTGCTCAACTTTCTTACCGCCCCGCATCTCATTGGCATGGACCTAGGTATGTTAATTAATGGATGGGACCCAACTACTCACATTTTCCAATACTCAGGGGTGTCAGGGGCTTAGTAGGTATACATCGGCTTGGTTTTGGAGCTGATTTTCCGGATTAAATTACATAATTAAGCCTATCTAAGTATATAAACCACATGCATATTATATGATTCGAACATGAATGCTTATTCTTACTTACATGCACTCGCTTGTGTAGCAAGGGAAAATATGCGGATCGGAGATATATAGCTTATGATAAGTCATAAAAGATGTGGTATATTCATTTTATTTAATATAAATATTGTGTTTAGTACTATGGAGAAGCACATAAAATGTCTATGGGTCCATGATGTGGTTGTCGACCGTAATCACGCTAACCCTAACCCTAACCCCGATAATAGCCCCTGAAAACACATATGAGGTATGTATTTCATCATTTATGTAGATTCTATCACACCAAAGTATTTATTTGATCGAAACTAGCTTTCTTAGAATATATGAGTCACTATAGCAATAAATTCCCCGTATTTAATTTGCTCGAATATCTACCGACATGATCTGAGATCTCCGCGGAGCCTAGACCATTGGCTACTGTCAAGTGTACCTATGCAAAAGGATCTAAGGACTAAACCCGAAAACATGTAACTCGTCTGTAAGTTTTATAAAACTGATTGACCCCGAGTTCAGGTATTTTGTCGCGTGTAGCTATTCGCGTTTTCTTTCCTTGGATTGTTCACGCCCTCCATGAACATGCCCGAGATAGGAGAGTTGACATGACTCATTTGCACATACACCCGAAAATCTAATGCATACAATCGAGACCCCCGCCCAATAAATCCGCTGAAGTTATAATATAAATGCAGTAGATGTCATTGTGAATATTGTCAATACAGCATCACGTTCAAACACGGTCGATTGGTACACCATGCCCGACTTCTCCGAGATTGAAAAAACGCTGGCCTCTGTGGAGGCTAGCTTTCAAGTCATCCAAGTGCTTCGTGACTTACATACGAAGGCCCTTTCTGAAGCCCCTTTTGTTAGCACAAATGGGTCTACATCCGACGCTTTAGAGAAGTTCGTGGCACTTGATCCTGACAAGTGTGCGCTGGTATACCTCCTTCTCCGATCCACTGCGGCGCGATTCGTCGTTGAAGCTGGAACGTCATTCGGACTCAGTACCATATACCTTTCCCTGGCCGTTGGGCAAAATGGTGGTGGCAAGGTCATTGCGACAGAGAATGAACCTACCAAAGCATTGAAGGCTCGCGAGAACTGGAAAGCTGCCGGAAATGAGATCGAGAAATGGATCGAACTGAGAGAGGGGGACCTGCGAGAGACGCTTAAGACGGATTTACCTGATCAGGTCGACTTTCTATTACTTGACAGTGAGTTGTATAGTCGTTATAAATGTAGCAGCATCTTAGTGGGTTGTGCTAACATGAAATAGTTTGGACTCCCCTAGCTCTTCCAACTTTGAAGCTCGTTCATCCGCGCCTAAAGATTGGAGGATTAGTGGTTGTTGACAACACCATAGCAGCTGCGTCGGGATATAAAGATTTGATGTCCTATTTTGACGACTCTGCCAACGGATTCAAGGCGACAACCGCCCCTTATTCAGGGGGTCTATTTATCGCAGTATACCTTGGAAAGGGGGCTCCATGAGAATTCGATCCCTAACTAGGTGGACAATGGGTTATCGGTACAGAACTGTAGGAGTCACCCGCGCCATAGTTTCAATAGTGCAACCTTTTGTTATTTTAATCGAACTTGTAAGATTTTCTAATTTCTTTCTTCGAAAATATGCAACCAAAATGTAAGTGACTGATGTCAATAGAATAGATGTATACCCTCTTCGCGGTCCACGTGACCGCTTTTCTTCCATGCCCCTAACGCCATGCTCAAAAATCAGGCCATCGGAAAGATGATGTAAAGTTCTAAAACGCCATGTTGTTCGATATAGCCCTGTAACCAGGATCATATCTCGTGGACAGTCTTCGTTAAGAACCACCGTTACTCTCGCCTAAAGTACAATCATGGTTGTCCATAATCTTGTACTTTTCATTGTATTATTTACCTTCGGTCAGCATCACGGCTAGCTCTCCTCTCCTCTCTAGGTCTCGATCTCCTTGCTTCACTGGGGTAGCGCCTCGTCCTAGGCTCGTCATACCCGGGTGGGGAGGACACATCGTAGCCGGCCCCTGTGTAGCCAGTACGTCTGTCTTCGAAGTCCGCAATGCCGTGAGCGCCCCTCGTGCCGGTCAAAGCATGCCTTTCCGCGGCTCCTTTTTCTTCAACATCATCGTACGTGCGCTTCCTGAAATGACCCATGCAGAAGCCGGATGGGTGTGGCAAGTGGGTCATGACAAGGACGATAAAGTAGCTAATCGTAATCGTCGGTAACATCCAGTTGCTTCCTACGAAGGCCGTGTTGCGTGCGTTCTCTAGTACCGCTTCCTGGTTGGCAGCTATGATAGTGAGCAATGCCAGGACGATGGAGATAGAGATGCAGATGGCGGTGCGGAATATATTGAAGGGCGACCAGCCCTTTCGCTTAGATATGACGTGCATAATGGTCAAAAAGAGCAAGACAATGCCAGCACATGCGAACGCGTAGATGTACTACTCATCGTGTTAACCGTTTTCCAGAAGCAATAGAAATAATGCCGGTAGAAATAACAACTTACAACCAGGATAAATCTTTTAGCAGAAGCAACCGCTGCAGCAGTCTGCCAGTACTCTGTCTTGGGCAACTCCTCCTGTTCCTCGGGAGGGTTGAAGCCAAATGCGTTGTAAATAGCGTTGATCATCGTGTTCGTGAGCTCGGCCAGGTCGTTTAGGTATCGTTCGAGCATCGAATCATCCGGCGAGGGATCCGAACTCCAGAATGAGTCGGGCATATCGGCGATTTCTTTCAGAGTCTCATTCACCGATTGCATTGTCTCCAAAACATCGAGGGGTTGGTATTTCGTTAGGAATGGTAAGACTAGATCACTAAGCTTCTCGGCGACCTCCTCGGAAGTAGGGTTCCCTGTAAGAGTCTTTTCCTCGGTAGCTATTACCTTGGCGATGATCGAATTGGCAGATTCGACAATACGCGCCCAGACGACAAATTGGCTTGCGCCTTCAAGAAGAAGTACGAGCGCAATATGGAAAGGCAGATGCAACGATGTCCTAGATGCAAATGTAAGACTCTTGATCTTAAATGGATAATAACAAGATATTGAGAACTTACCACCAGACTTGATGCCGTTTAGACATCGAGTGTTCATCATGCATCCAGTCGAAGTAGATCTGAAAAATGATGTAGATCAGGGCAGTTCCGGCTGTGACAAGACCGATGAGGGTCGGACCTTGGATCGTTAGTTGATTAAAGCGACAGCATAGGAGAGGAAAATACGTACTCCATATCGTATATGAGGAATCTTTGGCAAAAGTGTCCTTCACTAGGAGAGTAATACTCTTTGCTAAGATGATACATCCTTCTCCCAAAATAACAAGCGTCAAAAGGTTCAAACGCTCACCCAAATGAGTGCCGAGGAAAGTCAGGGAGTGGGCTGTTTGAGAGAGCATTAGGTGCAGTAACATCTCAAGGACGCCTCCGATGTACCAGACAAGGAACACTCGGCTACTCTTGCCTAGATCGTACCTGAACGAGACTCCTAGGTAGACCATAGAGGCGCAGAAATGCAGGACAGCGGTGGAAATCATGGGCCATTTACCGTCAGCATATTTGCGGATCTGAAATGCGACCATTCCGTACTGGAGAAACAGGACAAATCGAGATACTGCAAGAAATAGCGACATGGTCCTGAAGATCGATACAATCTGGTCGTCTGGATCGAAGCTAGTACCAATCTCGGCGAATCCAATCATGACTCCGAGGTGGACGGCCTTGCAGCAACGCTCCCAGATGCTATCGGCTGTGAACCGCACGTCGTACAATGTGGTTAACCCCCATGTTGTCCACAGGAGACTAAATGTCGTGTTAGGCAGCGTTTCAACAGAAGCGGACAAGTGGCCCACTTACACAATGTAGCCGATGAAAGAGGTGAATTTCGAGAAGTCGGAGATATCGTGAATCTTAAGTATCAGTTAGCAATAGCTCGCAAGTAAGACATAAGATACACATGAGGAACGCACTCCAGTGAAGACGTTCAAGTTCGCAACAAACCACAAGTCGTAGAACAGCTAGAATAGGTGTCAGTCACAACATGATAGGCCAACGAGACACGGGCTTCTTGGCAAACCTCAAAATTGGTAGCAGCCTCGGGCTAATATCTGTTAGTCCTGCGGAAACAAAGATGCGGTCGGTGAACGCTCACCTTGTAGAACACGGGGGCATTAGGAGGCCCCTCTTTGGGATTGAGCTCCTCCGTCTCATCTTGGTGGCGGGCGAGCTGTTGGTGTTGGTGCTGGTGATGATGTGTAGGAATAACACGGTGACCGGTCATCTCAGGTTCGACGACCCGGGAACCCAGCAGCTGCAGCCGGCGTCCGGCGTAGTCGAGATCGTGTTGTGTCATCTTTGCGGAGTCGTAAAGGTCTCGAGAACGTGCTCTGTTTGGACTCTCGGACTCTGGGACTACTTGAAGAACAAGTGATCGACAAAAGAAAGGATTAATTGCCCAGAAAAAGTGATCAGAAATCGAAGCCAAGAAACGGGCGGTTCACCGCGAGTTATATCACGACTCCAATGACCAGCGTGCTGTGCTGGTGCCCAGCCTATGGGGCGGTGCTCCCGCCCTGCATCGTACCCATCAGCATCGAGTACCCATTTTTCTGCTTATACGTATGTGGGTACTATGCTGCGTTGTCGTGGTTCTCGCTCAGTAAGGGACGGGAGCCTCATGTGAAAGTCAGCGAACGGCCCTGTCGGGACCCTAGACTGGCCAGGCTCGCACACATGCAATGCGGCCATAGAGGTTGACACGAAGCCACGCGATGAACTGTAGCGAAATGAATAGTGACCAGATATAGATAGGGCTGATGGTGGCGCCCGGCAGAGCTTGGCCTTAAACGTCCACTAAACGTCCGCTGAACAAGCACAAGCCCTGGACTAGGTAGACTAGCCTGGGGTTATGCTGACGCCAGGGGTTGGCCAGTTCCCACGTTAAAGTATATGGGGTGAGCTGTCTGACCTATCAGAGACATTTCGCTTATGGATCTACCGCAACATCTCGTCTATTTAGGTAGGAATCTAGCAGGGCTAATACCGTCTAATCCTGACTAAGGACTTTAACTCGACTGGATCCTTAGTCCGCTTTTCAGCTCTCCAGGATAAAACAGAAGGTTATTTCAATGTTGATGGAAGCACCGCGAAATGGAACGAGACAACCCTGGCAGCTGTTTCTACCTACCTAGCCTTTCAAGGCCTCCGGACTTGGCATATACGCATAGTACATTTTAGGATCCTCTTTGATTGTTATTTTTGTAACTATCATCACACTTGTCGTCTAAACCCTCGTGCACCAAGACCGTGGAACCCACTTATCCGCCTCAGACGTCCAATTATCGCGAGGGTTTTCCGAGACGAGTATGAACGGACTGGTCATGGCTTGGCGGCGAAGAAAGTCATCGATGCTGATTCCATCCGCCCCGCCACCGTCGAGACTCCGAGACCTACGACTCAGAATCCGAGATGAACAACTACCTAGGTAGTCACGATGATTCCAAATGGTTTCACATGGGGAATATTTCATAATATTGAAGACTACCGGCAGCCCCGAATTGAACTGCAGAGCTGATTGATCAAGCATTTGTGCTTTAGACATAATTATTTTCTACTTCTTATCCGGTCAACCGTAAGCTGGGCACTGCGGGTCTTCGCAGTATGTGCCCTTGGCAAAGATCGGCAGCGCTATTTCTGTCTTCACACAGGCCTTCTGTCTTTTCCTACCCTTGTAGCACAGCTCAGTTTCGTACTTCCAGTCTCCGGTCCTTTCGTCAACGAACCGGCATCCGCACATATAGAAAAGATCGCGTCTCTTGCACATGTTTTAGGTCGTTCTATGGAATGATTATTCTGATTGGTTTCTGATGTTCTTTTTAAAAGCACAGCCAAGAGATTATTGAGATCAACTGTGATCATGGATGTTTCGTTGGAAAGGGGCAAGCAATAAAATCTCGTGTTGAATTATGCACCTCTCGTCAAAACAAAGACCTGTCTCGCTTTGTGCCGTCCTAAACATGGAATCAGTTGACGTCGAGGGCGCCGGGGTCAAAAGCGAACCCACGTGGGCTCCTTGTCCTAGAACAAAAGCCTTAAACTACCCAATCTACCGCTGTCTAGCAAACCTTTCATCATTCAATAGCGGAACGTTTACCAATGTTGCTACCCGAGGCGATGAGGTGTTTGCCACTTGGAGAATTTTAGATTCTCGCCCACTCATGTTCAAAGAAAAGCATCGTGGCTTATCATTTGATGGAAGATTAGGGGTTTGCTGACCTGGCGAAGCATCAGACCAGAAGATGCATAAGTCATTCTGATACTTGAGTACCTAGGTAGGTAACCTGAAGATCTGGTAATGATAAATGAACGAAGTACAACAGTACCCATTCTTCCTTATATGCTTGGGTGATGCCGTAGTGGTGTCTAGCGATGAACATCTCCAAGCAATAAAAGAAATGAGCTTAGTCACCCCAATCTGCTATTCGCTAACCCTAACCCTCATGCTGCATTTATATGGAACTATCATCATGTACATCGTCGATGAACTGAACATAAACGTAAGTTTACAACGACTTACCGAAAGGTCAATGGATACCTTACTTGGCAAATTGTCAATCGCAGGAGTTTTCTTGTGACTTATGCTGTCTTTGTTCTCTTTCCTTGTTGATCACAATATCATTGTGGGCATCAAAGGAATGGGTGCTTTTTGATACTCCAAATATAAGGGCAAAGAAAAGAGTAAATAAATCAACCTTCAAGAAATGTATCGCGCATTAACGAGAGAGAAAAATATTGTGTATTCTATTTTGACTTTCCTGTTTCCACTCATACCCTTCATCATGTGTCGGCAGATCACCACCAACCTAGCATGCGGCTGCAAAACGAAACCCTGTGTCGTTCTGTGCGTTGACGCGAAAGAACGCTCCTGTAAAGGCGTCGAGAAAGTTGAGAAAAAGTCAGTTTGCTGGTGCAGGAATAATGTTTGTCGGTATCGCGCTTATAAGCGCTTAAGCCGCCAGCTAAGGTATCTCGAGGAGGACATCGAGTGGGAGCAGGCCGCGAAGGATTCTTCAGCAACCTCCAAGAATCGAGCTGAGGCTAGCAGATTGTGATATATGGTGGATAGATATTTCTAGGTAATTATTGGTTAAGTTCGATTCATCACTGGTATATGTTCATCAGCAAACATCAAGTAAACTGCTAACGTGTAATGCTTTTATGATTAGGTATCTCACGTGGGTATCTACCTAATGTAATATTTGGAGTATAAGTAGAATGGTAAACGTAAGGTTTTATGCTGCACAAATTCAAGCTCACAAGATGAGAAGACTTCCCAAAATTTGCGAGAGCACGACCACCATGCCGCTGAGGGTCGAAGTTGAGGTGCTGGCCTAGGCCGACAAGATGCTAACTAAGGCGCTTAACACACCCATCTGCTGGCCTGCACCCGTCGTGTTATCGAACTTGCCGGTGCTCCAGTGGAAGCCGCAAAGACGGCCGTTGTCACCACCGTTGCACTGCGACGCGGCGCTCTTAGCGCTCGACTTTAGGATAGGGAGGACCGTAGCGGAGGTATACGGTGCCTTTTCGATAGTCGAGCCGAGGCCTCTGTGAAGCAGGGACTTGTAGAAAACCTGGTCCGAGTTGCAAATGGACGCCTTCTCGCAGGCAGCTTCGAATGCAACGCCGTCAGGGAAGAATACCTCGAGGGTCCGAGAGACGAGTCCGTCGATACGCTGTTTCCAGTCATCGGCCCCGTTGGTCTGTATCTAAGTCAATATCCGGCAGAATGCGTTCTGGGTGATTAATAAGAAACTTACATGATTGTACATGAATGCGGAGCCCTGAAGGAGCATCCCGGCGTTGGACGAAAATTGTGCCTTGTTAATATCCTTGCACTTGCTCGCTTGTGCTCCGTCATATACATCATATTTTTCGCTGATGAACCCGATGTTTTGGAGCAGCTTAAAAGTATCGCTGGCCGCATCCTCGTAGGTCTTGTTTCCTGTTAAATGTGCCAGTTGAGCAGCAAGGTTAAAGTAGTAGATGTTGGCGGAAGCTAGGGCCGGGTCAATAATCACATTCTAGGTATTGGGTAAAGGATATCGCGCAGAAGCGTCGATTAAGGGTCACGAACAGCTAATGTAGTTGTAGCCTTGGTTAGCCTGGGATATCTGCCATCTCAGGGCCCCCTTGCAGTCACCGTCGTCTACTCTTCGCTCGGCAGCATGAAGGTCGTTAAAAACATTCTTAGCTAATGCTAGCCACTGCGGGTTACCCTGACTCGGTTCTTGCAAGCTGACTTCCTCAGCCTCAATGGCGGCAAGAGCCCAGAGGGCCTGATCATCATTGCCCATAGACGCGGTCCAATTTGTAGGCATGTAGTCATCATTGGGGCCCATCTGCCATATGAGGCCTTGTGAGATGTCCTTGTCGTACTTCTTTTCCCCCGAACGATTGCGATAATCCAATAAGGAGCTCCAAAGAGCACCACCAGTCCACCAGTAGTAGTCTCCGTCAGGAGGGGGTGTGAAGATTCCAACAGGTTGTCCTGGATTGTTGCCGGGGTAAAAAGTCATGAGATCCTGCGCTACGAGAGCCGCAGCAGCCTTGACAGAAGCTATCAACTTGAGTCAGCACCAAGCATTCACTAACCAGGATTTTACTCTTTCTGGGACACCAACCTGCATCTTCAACATCTACAGTAAGACCTGCAAGCGCGCCATTGGCGGCTAGTAGAAGACGAGCTAATGAGTTAGATGCAATCCTCGCCATGTTGCTAGTATACCCGTGCTAATAGTGCTAAAATAAGTAGCAATGGTAAGTAGCGGTTATAGACTAACGGATGTAGTTGCTGCTAAGATGCCCTTATCGAATAACAAGGACGATTTCAGCGACGCCAGCAACGGTGATTTGAGGCTAGATATAGTCAACCTTTTCTATCATAGCTGCGCCGCTACGCCCTACAATTAGCTACGATTAAGCCCCCAACGACTCCTATAGATCCAATCTTAGCCGAACTGCCCGAACAAGCGGTGGATCGTGAACCTTGGTGTAGATGCCTGGCTAAACCGAACTCGGGCGTAATACCTGGAGCCGCAACGGCACAGCACACATAGCCACTCCTTGGCTAATTAGCTAACCGTTGAATGAAGTTGGGAAACCCGAGAAACGACGCGTACACTGCTTCAAATGATATGGGATCTACGTCACGATAACCCCATTATCCTCAATTGCTATCGTGCAGGGCATAGGGAATATAGCCTGCCGACAGCATTACCCCCGTGTTCGAACTAGCTGCATAGTACAATAATAAGGGAGTCGAATGTTTCTGACATAGAATTATATGCCAAAATTAGGGCGATGATATCCAGCATTGACTTGCTGTGTCACGGGAAATTATCAGCACAGAGGCGGCTCATTGAGTAGAAGAGTAAGGCCAAATAGGCTTGACTTGGAACCCATAATATAACGAAAACGCTCGAAAACAAATCATATTGCCCCAAGGGTATCAATACCAAGCCTATACGCATACCTACCGACCCTTGACCTTTCTGATAACGACCTTCCCCCCGTCTAATTCCCATCCGACCCCGTCCTCTGCCGTGAGGTTTGCCCACTTCGAATCCGCGCAGACCTCCAAGAAGTTCAAATCCACGCTCAAATATGCTCTTCCGAAGCACTTGAGCAGGTGCTTGCGCATGCCTTCTTCGGCATATTCCAGCAGCTTCGCCTTGTGCCCGTCGACCCTCCTCTTCAAGCGGCTGAATTCTATGTAGTTGTCGTGTGCCAGCGCGTCGAGTACCGCGTCGACCTTGGCGTCCCGTAGCTGATATTTATGCCGCGCAGCGAATGCTTCGGCTAGGTTGTTCCGCCTGCATGCCGTGTCGAGAACGAGATAGCCGACGACCTCGTTCATTTCGACAGACGTCATCCTATGCAATGGCTGTATCTTGCGTAGGAGGTGTAGAATGGCTGGGTGGTAGGATTCGGGATGTTTGACTAAGACGGAAAGCCGGATGCAGAAGAGATAGGCTTGGATTGCGAAATCATCGACGCGCTTGGAGGCTACGATACCTTCTCGCAGCTTCCTAAGCGCCGACAAGACATCAGACAGGCCTTTAGTATTATTGGGTATAGTAGCTAGTGTCATCGTAGGCGAATTAGGGTCTAGCAGAGGAGCATTGTTGGTAGAATTCGTGGAGGGTTTCTCGTCGTTGGAGCCGGAGAGGTCAAGCGAGGCGAAGCGGCGAAGGAGCTCGCTACGTTCGCCAGCGTCAGAGCAGAAGGTCATGTATCGCTCGACTATCTTGGTATAGTATCGCTCTTGGGTTTTGAAGTCAAGCAACCTAGGTAATCATCCTGTCAGTACTCCGACTAACTCTTTGAAGTGATGGTGATCAGGTTAATAACCAACCTACTATCGCCTTTCGAAGGCAAGCCCATTGCCTCTAACGGGTCCAATTCTACAGGTTTCAGACGACTCCATGGTGCAGAAGGAGTTCTGTTCCCTCGGGCGCCCCCGCGTCCACGCATTGTCAAGTCATATCAAGCAGTGACTATACTTGTTGAAGATTGTTGAAGTTGTTAAGATGTTACACAGTACAAGTGCCTGGTATGTATTTCTTAGGTGCTCATAAAACGTTGATCAACTTAGCGGGGCAAACGAAACGATTGATGACACTAACCGCAATAGGCTAGTATGCCCGACTTTAGGAGGGTTATTGTGTCGCGTTGATTAAAAAAAAAGTTGTTACCGAATTAGGAAGGTGGGTCTTGTGGCTGGGGTGTGGCTAGGTGTGGTGGTGCGCAGGTGGTGGAGGGGTTATTAAGGTAGGAAGGTAAAAAAGGAAAGTGGGTCTTGCGTGGCTAGAGCCGTGTGGCTGGGATGTGGAGGTGTGTGTGTGGGTGGTGGGATTACTAGAGTAGGAAGGTAAAAGAGGAAAGTGGGGCTTTTGTGGCTAAAGTGTGGCTGGTAGGGCGGTGCAAGAGGGGAAGACTTGTAATAGGCAAGTCAAAAGGGGAAACGTATGATAAGTCAGTAAGGCGTAAACCAATCAATAAATAGATAGTGGGTTCAACCCGATTTAGGTGCGGATTACGTAAGTATTAATTAATCAGTTTAAGTAAGGGTTCAGCTTTAGTCCGAATTAACTGATTATATAATACAATAGCCCTAACTTTTAGGTTAGGTCAGGTCTCTGATTTTTAGGTTAGGTCAGGTCTTTGACTTTTAGGTCAGGTCAGGTCTTTGACTTTTAGGTTAGGTCAGGTCTCTGACTTTTAGGTCAGGTCAGGTCCCTGACCTAGGGGCAGTTGAATAAAACCTTTATATAATAATAAGTCCCCTATTCTAAAAACTTGAGGCTCTACCTAGCTTATATAATTAGCAGAGCGACCAATCAAAAGCTAGTGGGCGGGCGTGGCTTGGGTGGCTGGCGCAAAAAGGGGTGGGCTTCTTAAGCTTAATTACGTAGGTAAGCGGGTCCTTTGATTGGCTACAGCTTTGACAAATTCGTGGCAGGTCATTTTGTGCAATTGCTGATTGGGTGCATGGCTACATTAAGTGGAGACATCGCTTCAAGGGGCTTGCTTACATAAACCTGTCCTTTGGTCAATTAAACTGCAGTTGAACCTGTATTGAACCTAAGGCCTACTGAAACTGCCGTTGACCTAGCTGACTAATTAAACTGCTTATAGCTTAATTGAACTGTATTTGAACTTGCAATTGAACTGCAGTGGACGTTGCTTACGTCAGACGTTGTCTTCAACAGGGTGCTTAGTCAGTTGAAGAGCGTTGGATTGATTATATAATACAGGATAAAACAGGTCAGGTCCAGGGACCTGTTCTTCAATACAGGTCAGGTCCAGGGACCTGTTCTTCAATACAGGTCAGGTCCAGGGACCTGTTCTTCAATA